TTATTCTCAACCAAGTTTAATAACTAGGAAATTTTCAGATATACTTATTATAAATGAAAAGATATTTCTATACGAATCTGTCAGACCAACGTATCCAAAAAATCAAGGTTCGATAAGTAAGGATTTATAAAATTTTATAATCTATTGCTAATGTATACTGTGTGTTTAAGGAATCACTGTCTAGATTGTATAGTATGCCAGGGCATCAACGCTAGTGGGAAACATGGCGAAGCCCGTTATGAGTAAGTTATCCCATGTTTCCCACTAGCGATGATGTCCCAGGCATACTATACAAACTAGACAGTGATTACTTACATTTCCATGTCATTGTGAAATAAAAGTGTAGATTTAGACGTTAAAAATGTAGACAGATTTAAATTACACAAGGACTTCCATGCCAATTTCTATAGTCATCGCTCACTGACATCAAACACATAGACAGCCGCACGAGATTTACATGCATATTTGGCCTCCTTAGCGTCAAGCACAGAGATAGATACGCACGAGATTTGCATTCGTATTAGGCCTCCTTAGCTCCCGACCGATCGACCTGCTTAAGGTAAGTCACTCGTCAGCTTTTTAGAAAAGTTCACGCAGAAGCTATTACTTCAAAACTACTGTTTAAAATTCAATTTTTATAACATACTTAAATTTAACAATGTAAATTTTTTAACATTCAATGAAAAAACTGCTCAAAAATCTACAAAGAAGCAAGATTTATGAGGGACTATTTCTTTTGGTGGAAGGATATTTAGCAGAAAATTCTGCAAATCTGCACATTTATAAAATTTAATGTAATGGAAATTTAGCCTCACATACTTTTACTCGGAAAATATTTTCCGTTTTGATATTGCTAAAAATATTTAATATAGGTCTTAATTTACATTTTTAGACCAAGTTTTACACCTTCCCTCAACAAACTTTTCCAAAAAATGAAAATATATTAAAGAAGTCAAGATCAAATTTACACCATTTTTTGCCTGAAAATCACATATTTTGACAAATATTTCAAAATTAATATCACTGACCCCACCTTTTTCTTTCACTATTTTAAACTACTCGATACTTGTGACTGATCAGCACTTAAGTCCTAAAAAGTTTGATATAAGAAAAATTTTTATTGCCTATTAAGTTTTTTAATACCCCAAATATGTTTTTTTTAGTGCAAAAAGGTCGCACAATAATTTACGCGCATTAGTTTGCAAGATTTTTTTTATGATAAATAGTATTCAAACTATTTTACGTAAAATAAGATTATATTTATTGCCATGCTTACATCTGATCACATATAATAAGGGTTAAAGTAATTAACCAAAGAGATGAAATTTAAGTGCAAAAAGGTCAACTTAAATGTACCGTAGATCAGTAGGATGCACACTGACCCCCTATTTTCTTTGCGATTTTGAGTTACACTTTATGAGTACTTATCCAAAATATACTTCTCAAAAAATCCTTGATATAACAAATTTCAGGAGTGACTTACCTTAATTTACATTCCGGCAGAATTATCAAGAAATAAACTCCGACAACTTTCAAAGAGTTATCACAGAGAAAAAAAATTTAAAAATGGAAATATTATCTCATATATCACACAATATTTACATTCGCTAAGTTTTTTCTACTAAGCCAACTGTGAAATTGATTTGAAAATCATTTTAGTGTATACTCACGCGTAGAAATATGCACGGAGAAACGTGCGTTAACGTGACGTCACAATGAGACTACAGCGACGTTGGTAAAATGAAATAATGTAGGACAACGAGAAATTCAAATATTGAGTATATTTTAGTTGCCACCAAACAGGTAAAATGTAAATATAAGGAATGTTTTTCAGTTTAGTGTGAATTATTGGTGTGTGAATCACACAGAATTGCACATAGGCATATTTTATTATTTTTCATGAAGCGCTAGCGCGTGACAAGTTTGTGTGATTCACACACCAATAACTCACACAAAACTAAAAAAAACATTCCTTAATTATTCTTCATGTATTATATTTAAGGTTAAAATTGAACTACCATATTTAATTACATGTATATTGGATTCCGAAACTTTAAAAGAATCCTTACAAAGATACACAGCGGGTTCCCAGAAATGTTCAACCAAACCTCTTTCTTTACTCCCAAATAAGATATAAAAAAAGTAGTGAAGGGGAAACTTCAAGAGTAATGTGCAATATATTCAAGAAGTGAAGTAAAACAGATTTGGATACTTAAAATTCTAAGGAACTTTACCATTTGAGATCACAAGATTTTTTCGAAAATCAACAACCTACGACTTTTCAATTTTGTACACAACAACGAAATCAAGGTTCAGGTTTTCGATATCATTGACAACTGTTTTTTTTCAATAAAATGGAACTCGTAAATTTACTAACATTCTATTTGCCATTGGTCATTTGCAAAATAATTTGTTAAAAAAATTCTGATTGTACACAGAAGTACTCTGAAGACTATATTAAAAAGATGCTCGAGTTTCTGACTGACAATATCTATGTTGTTTTTGGTGATCAGGTCTCTCGATAATATGTTAGAATGCTCATGGCTACCCTTTGCACACCATTATATAAGCAGACTTATTTTTGCATTCATATGAAGCAGAATTTGTGCAAAATCTTATGTGTGATAAGAAGAAAACACTTGCTATACCTTCCAACTCGATATTTAGATATATCGACAACGATTTTCAATTAAGAATTGTAATTTCCATTCTTATGTCGATACGATATATCCCGGTGAGCTTGAAATAATAGATATCACAGGGTCTGACACATCTGTTTCATATTTGGATATTCTACTTAAAAAGAGGCTAATGGTAATCTAACACCCTAGCTCTATGATAAACATGATGACTTAATTAACTGTTCTTTCGACAACTTCCCATACTTATGAAGCAATATACCTTCATCACCTGCATTGTTTATTTATCTCAGATGATTCGATACGCAAGAACATGCTCTACGTAAGAACAATTTCTAAAACGAGCTAAATTATTGACAAAGAAGTTGATGAAACAAAAATATCATGAGTCTCTTTTTCAGTCATAATTTCCTAAGTTCTTACGTCGATACAATTACCTTGTTGGCAAATTCAATTTATCATTGAGTCAGATGATGACTGTATTTCATACAAATTTTTAGTCCATTATTAATACACTGAATTGACGGCGGATGTTTTATTATTTACCGATCACGAGAAGGAGCACACTGCGGGTGTGACCGATCGGCAGGGGATACTTACTCATCCATGGCACCTGATCCCACCTCTGATGTTTTGGAGGTCCGTGTTTGCTCTGCTTCTGTTTTGCATTGTTTGAGGGAATTTTGATATCAAATATTTTTCATTTTCTCCCAGTTTTCAGTAAAACAAAATATTCAATGCATTTCATTAAATGAGTATATTCTTTCGTTACTCCCCACTAAGATATAGACAGTAGCGAAAGGAAAACTTCAAGAGTACTGTGCAACTTAATATTCAAGAAGTGGTGTGAATCAGATGTGGATGCTAAAAAATTCTAAAGAACTCTTGGACAATTTGAAATCACAAGACTTTACAAAAATCAGCAGCTTAAACTAACGACTTTTCAACTTTACACACAACAATTCCCCACGACAAATTAAAATCCAGGCTTTTTGATATCATTGACAGCTGCTTCTTCAATAAAAATGGAACTCGTAAATTTACTTACCTCATCATTTGCAAAATTATTTTGTTAAAACAGATTCTGATTGCACACATGAGTACTCTGAAGTTGACATCAAAAAGATGCTTGAGTTTCTGAGTGACAATATCTATGTGGTTTTGGAGACCAGGTAACAACAATCTATTTGAATTCCCATGGGTACAAATTGCGCTCCGTCATTAGTAGACTTATTTTTATATTCATATGAAGCAGAATTTATGCAAAATCTTATGCGTAAAAATAAGAAAACACTTGCTGTGGCCTTCAACTTGAAATTTAGATATATCGACGACGCATTGTCAATAAACAATGGTAATTTCCATTCCTTCGTCAATACGATATATCCTGGTGGACTTGAGATAAAAGATACCACAGAGTCTGACACTTCTGTTTCATACTTGGATATTTAACTTGAAAAAGACGTTAATGGTAATCTAACAACCAAACTTATTGACAGAAGAGATGACTTTGACTTTTCAATTGGTCATTATCCTTACTTATGCAGCAATATATCTTCATTACCTGCATACGGAGTATATATATATATATATATATATATATATATATATATATATATATATATATATATATATATATATATATATATATATATATATATATATATATATATATATATATATATATATATATCAGTTGATTCGATACACAAGAGCATGCTTTACGTATGAACAATTTTCAAAACGAGATAAGTTTTGACAAGCAAGTTGATGAAACAAGAATATCAGCAGTTTCGTTTAAAGTCATCATTTCGTACGTTCTATGGTGGATACAATGACCTTGTCAGCAAATACAATTTATCATTGAGTCAAATGCTGACTGACGTTTTTCATACCAATTGTTAGTCCATTATTTATACACTGAATTGACGACGGATTTTTTCCCCCATAATTTCCTGATCATGACAAGGAACACACGGCGGGTGTGACCGGTGGGCAGGGGATGCTCACTCCTCCATGGCACCTGATTCCACCTATGATGTTTTGGGGGTCCATGTTTGCTCTGCTCTTATTTTGTATTGTTTTATGGACTTTGAGATTGAATACTGTTCGTTATCTCCATATCCTTCATGAGTACCAGGTATATTTCGAATTTTATACTTATCAATATTCTTTATTATGAAGTTGATGTCTCTTGCTTTGATAAGGGTGAGTATTAGAACGGGCAATCAACTTGTGCATACCCATACACTGATAATAATTGATCTTGAAATTTCCCGATTCTCAGTTGTATTTTTTCTTCATCAGGTTTTTCCATATAGAACAACGAAAAACTGATTTCAAAGTATGTTTATTTATCAATCAGGTTTTCCATGAAGATTTATTTGGACAAGTGGCTGATGAGAGAAGCAGGCGGGCGTAACAAGTTAACTGTTTGAGGCCAAGTCCATAAAAAGTTATGACTCGTACAAAATACTGGCTCAAGTCATCAATAAAGAATCCCTGATGCATTGTAGCATTTATCACTCCACTGAAAGAGGTGAGGCATCCATTAAGAATGGCAGATATTTAAACATTAATGCACTACAAACATGTTTTTCCTTGATTGTGTTTTTTCTGAATGCATTTTGATTTTAATGAGGTGGTGTCAGATTTCTAAATAAAGAAACTGTTGTAATATAACTGGTTCCTTATTGAATTTATTGAACATGACATAATTGTATAAGAATTCACTGTATCATGACATACGAAATGTGTCATTTTAATCATATTCTGTAAATTCCTATAAATATTGGCCAAAAGTTAAAGTCTTTTTCTAATGAGCACAACTTCTCATCCAAAATATGCAATTACATAACAAAAAGCTCTTTCTGAAGATCATAAACATGTTTCATTTTTTGGATGAGGGCTGTGCTCATATTTTATTCTTAGCTGTATGTATTCAAATACAACTGCTTTATGCAAAATTTAAGGGTACTGCATTTTTACGAAGCCTGTTTACCGATAACTAGATGCATGTAGCTAGGAAATTAGAGCACCAAGTCTCCTAGTGAACCTAGCTCTTTGACAAGGTTTGTGTACACAAAATATTTTTGAAAGGATGCTAAAGTGTCAAGTCTTTCAAAATCACAGGAAAATTCAGCAGTCTCATTTTTTTAAGAATTTGAATTGTTCAGTTTTAATTTTACTGGCCGAAAGCAGCAAAAAACAAAATTTGATTGGATAGTGCAACTTTTGAGGGGAACTGTTGCAACCATGGAAACTAAAATAGGACTGCATGGAACTTAAATACCGACCGGAAGTTAACAAACAACAACAACAAATAACAGAACAATATGATATCAATTCAGAATTCAGAAATGATTAAGAAATATGTATACATGGTACATATAACATAATATTGGTGGTTGCGATGCTTGGACAAACCATTGCTTTCAAGAACATCAACAATTCAAAATTGAACTGGATGTATGGTTTATTTATAATTAATAAAGATTATATTAATTACTCTTTTAAATTCTGTTTAAATTTTATGGCATTAATCCACGATTTTTCCTAAACTCTCGTATATTCATATGCTGAAGTCTTATCCAAGCGCAGTGTAAGACGCGGAATTTGATTTGATGACAAAAATAAGTATAATGGATCGTGCTACTTATCTGTTCCCTTCAAACTCAGTGAATATTGTACACCTGAATCACTCCTTATGTCCTTGAGACAAAAGTATTTTCCAAGTAATTTCCTCCTTTGAGATTCATAATATAATCGTTTCAGTTTATATATATACCTTTCAGTTTATTTGGCTGCATTAACTTTATTTCATATACTTAATTCGTTTCACACTTTGGGTTTCAGCAACATACAATATGTCATCGCTGTCTATGCTGAGATCACAAGGCTTGTTTAATTCACAGATGTCTATGTACTGGAGGAATTGTCCATTCTGATCAATGATGTGTATAACGTCATTAACAATGTCAGCAATTAGGATGTGACACATGCTGTCTGTAGTAATAACATATGGAGTAAAGTTTTTGTAATTCATTCCCTTGTAGTTAAACCTGAATTCTCCTTGATTGTTCAACACTAATACTGAACCTTTCTCACTTAATACAATGTCAAGGTTCTTGTTTTCATCAATATGGTTCAAAAATGAAGGAAATAATGAAATTTTTATATGATTTGTAATTATTTCTTGTGTGTACTGTAGTACCACAATAACGTACAACTTTCCTATGCAGTAAAAGCTCATTTGTTGTATCTGGAGATTCCATAAGTACTAAGAGGTCATCTGTATAAGTGCTGCAGATAGCAGCTGGACTCCAGTCATTTTCTATGAAGAAACATTTTGTCTTATCACCCTCCAGTATGTTGATAACTCTTATCAACTTTTCAATATACACTAAATGTCCCTCTCTGGTGACTGTCAAAGCATATGGATTAGTATCCTCGATCTTCCTCAGCACCTCCCCCTCTTTGTTCATCTGTTTTAGGATTCCATTAAAGTCCTTCACCCAGAAGTGATCTGTGTGAGGAATACAAACTATGCCACAAATTTCTTCATCAGTATTTATATCACCCACTGTAAGTGGCAAATCAAGAAACTTCTTTACAGCTTTTCCTGAACTGGAATTGGATTTGGGATCTTGTAGGACCTGTCCTTGAATGCAAGTTTTCACTGTTTTTGGAATGTCACCAATTACCTTACACAATGCTTGCTCTGTAAGTTTTTTGGGACTGAAGTCTTGCACTTTTAGTTTAAATCTTGAAGGAATAGTTCTGAACTTTTCATTTTCTGTAGTGTAATTAGCAAGTTGAGATAGATCATTCGAGGCAAGGATGAATTTGTTTTCATCTATTTTTGATTGAATTGATAAGAAGCATTTTAGGAAATCTGATTCCAGAGTCTTAATTTCTTTAACATCCTTTTTTTCCTTTTTTGTTGCATCACTCTTATATCTTTTAATAACTTTGTCTACTAAATTGTGCCATGTTTTACCAATATCATCAAGGGTTCTTTGCCTTTCTTCATGTTTCTGTTCAATGCTTTGTAACATTTCTTTCATATCAGTGAGGACAGATTCATAAACGGGTGCAATACTAGTTTCAAGTTCATTTAGATCTTTTCTGATAAGCTCCTGTTTAGAGCTGTAAAATACAGAGATACGTGGTACATTGTGATTTTCATGGGATCCAGAGGATAGACATTTCTGACATATTGGGGATTCACATTGTTCACAAAACATTTCACATTGTTTTCCATCATGGACACTGCATTGTGGTGGAATGATTTCAGATTTTTTGAACTCAAAGGTAACAACATCATGTCTAATGGTTGGATTGGAGATCATATGATGACCTACGCAGTTCTTACAGAGATCGACATGACAAGTGTTACACACAGTTTCTGCAGCAGACTTTCTGTCTTTTCCGGGGCAAAGTTGACAGCGTTTTATGTCTTGTGCTCTGTCAAGGGGATCTGATGATGTTGCCATGATTTTTTTTACCTGTACCAACAAAGAAAATTTACACATTTCTCATTTCGCTAATTTAAATAGGTATACAAAATATATGTTTTTCAAATCAGCAAGAAAATAACAGGAAAGAAAATTAATTAAATGGGAATTTACCTATATTATATAACAAGTAGGTTACAATAGTCTAACCTGTTAAAGTTTGTCTTTAAATAAAAAACATGGCGGCCTGTTGGTATAACAGATAATCAATGATCCAGGTGTGTACTGACTGTACACTTCTGTGCATATAGCGATTTAAATGTCTACCTGTGATATTGAGACAGGGTCTGCATAATAACCTGGTTTACTTCTAAAGAACTGGCTCGCGATGTGTAATAAAATTTCCTTATATCAGGGATTATGATATACGGGGTAGTTGTTCCTTAATTTTCTTCATCGTATGCATGTACATGTTGGGAAATGAACAAAGCATATATAATGACATACTTTTGCAATGGTTTATCAGATTTTATGTTTCTAAAATTGTACACTTTGAAAGTTGTGATTGACTACCTACCCTGTACCTATCCATGAATACTAATCAGGCATTTAAAAAAACTTTGTAAAGGTATTATCTTTTGCTGGTCTTACCTTTATCAAAAAATGTTTTAAAATTTTTGTAAATTTTGTATTATTTGTTTACAAAAACAAAAATTGTTGAGCTTTAAAAATGTACATAAGTACATGTGAAATAAATTGTAATTTTTATATCCTATTGCTTAAAACTTACTTTACACAAATTTTGTAATATTTTTTAATAAGTAAATTTTAACCGGGGGGGAGTTTTGGTGTTGGAAGCAAATTTTAAGAGGGGGGGGGTATTTGGAGGAGAAAAAATTTAGCATAGAAATAAAATGACAAGCAAAAGAAAAAAAGGAAAATCAGAAAATTTCTCCATTGTCCAAACAGGAAAATCATATATTTTTTTGGGGGGAGGGGGTGTGTAAAAATTTTTACATTCCCCCAAAAAGTGGAGGGGCATAATTAAAAAAAGGTAAATTAAAAGGGATGCATACACATGTATATTATTCAAACATTTTGTAAAAGTAATTCTTCCTGTTTTGGGGGAGGAAGGGGGAGGGGGTGGGTTGTCTCTTTCTTTGTGGTGCCTTTCTTATTTGAGTAGTCTTCATTACACTAACTGTGTTAACATATACATGATACATGCTGCACTTGATTAAGGATTCTGTTAATTTAAAAATTCTTTGTTTCTTGCAGGTTCTGGATTCTACACATAGCCACTCTGTAGCAAGAAAGGTACAGGAAGTCCTGAAGAAAGTGGTGACAGGGTTACTGGACAACCCTGGACTGGACACAGAGTCTCTGATGATATTTACTCATGGATTGATCACTCAGTCATTTCCTCAACTGTCTGACAAACAGAGGTAGGTTGAATTTCTGAATTCATTGGAATTTTATTTTTGTATTTTTTTTTGCCTACATTAAAAGGGGCAAATATTTAAAATGAAATGAAGCAGAATCAAAGATCATTTACATACCACAGTGTATTGCCAAAGTTGAAATGGGGCAAAACTATTCTCGTGTTAAAGGCAGTTTTTATATACATTTGTACATGCATTGGATTTCAGAAATGATGTCAGTCAGATTTTATGTTGAGTCATAAATATGAGATTTACAAAAATAGAGCATTGTTTTGAAAAGGGCTTTTGTTAATTTTGGAGAAATGTTTTCAGTAAGCAAAAGAAATCAGAAGAAAAGGAGACCCAGTCCTTCAGACCCCCAAGTTGTCTCCTGTTACCAGAGGAACCTAAGCGTGGAGGAGACAAACCCAAACTGAGTAAGAAAACCAACATCCATGTATTGGTGGAGTTTGGTCTCCAGCTCCTGTGTCTGTGTCTGAAGAGGGGCCGCCTGGTGGCCACAGAGGAGAACCACTGTAAACTAGTGGACCCTTTTATCACCATCTTAGTGGACTCTCTGCATTCTAAACATATCAGGGTAAGTTGATATGAAATAGAGGTGACTAGATTCATGGATTCTTAGTAAAATGAATTGTCTGAAGAAACCTTCTGATAATCAAAGTACTGAAAGCACTCATGGGAGTTGAACATGGTGTAAAATAAAATCTTTGATCGGGAGGTTAGGTTAGTGAACAATATTATTATTATTTCAAATACAGACAACTGATTCAAATTTTTTGAGTTGCAAGACAATCTTGAGAAAGACATTCAGAGACATTGAATAGTGAAAAAATGGATGGGTCATAATGCTTGCCTGCCTACATTAGTCCTTTTTTTTTATACCATCTGCTTGAAAAGCGGGAGGGTATTTATTAATCGGGATTTCCGTCCATCTGTTTGTTACGCTTTAGGTATACCCATCTCTTATTCGCAACTCCTCTTACACCACTGAATGAAATTTTCAAAGAATCTTTATTACATATTGCTGTTGAGCGCCATCTATTACTTTTTCATCCTACACATATTTTGGGTTTCCAATTGCAAAAGATGGACACTGCCATTATATTCATAGTAGAGGCAGTTGATAATTAAGGGTGAAACGATTACACGTGTAAACGACGACGTTTCGATTATATGCTCTAAACGTTTACAGTTTGAGTAAATGTTTACACGAAGGTCATTATCAATGTCTATCAGAAATAAAGTTTAACACAAACAAATTGTTTTATTTCATAATTTACAAAAGAAACACCGTCTTTGACCATTTGATAAGCAACAATCTAAACCGGAAACATATTGAATAAAAATATCTAAAACCCGATACGGTCTAACATATTTAATTCCGATTTCCGAGTTGCCAATACTAGCGATGTTTTACGACACTTGAAATATAAAACTTGATTTATTTTGATTAAATTAATATAATACATTTTCCACAAGTCTTTGAAAAGTGTTTCGATACAGTCAGCAGGTCTTGTTTTACTTTTTTCGTGATTAAAAGATCCATCTTTACAATTCTATTTTCTACGTACGGTATGTAGCCAAACACACCAAGCAGTTGGGTGACGAGGTAGAAAGTGAATGAGTTTAATGCGCCTCCAATTCTTATGTTTAAGTCATAATGACCAAAAATGAAATTGTAATAACAACTCACACTTATATTAAAGTGAAAGAATCGATTATTAAATTCGAGTTTCATGAGTTAGTAGCCATAAAAATCCAACAAAGAATATCTCCCGTTTATAGAGTTGGGTATTGCGAGTGAAAACCATATTGTGATATATTGCAATATTTTATGTTGAATATTGCAATATATTGCGATATATTGTAGATTAATTATCATTAATAAATTTGTGCAGAAAGTTTAAAATGCTGTCAAATTCAAATACTATTTGAATTTTTCTATAAATTTTAAAGGGGGCAGGGATAAGACATTAATAATTATAACTTTTAATCATAACTTTTAATCAAATACCAGGTAAAATATTAAAACAAAATGTACTCATTTGATGTATTTTCGAATTGAAAAAAAAAGTTTATGCATAGTATACTCTTTATACGTTTTTTTTTTAGGGGGGTGGGGGGGGGGACTGGGGGGTGTTTTATTGAAATAGCTTTAAATGTAACTTAATGATTAAAACAATACATGCTATATGGAAATTCTATGTGGTCACAAAATAAAATTAAAGCCAGAAAGAAAGTGTGACCTATTTTCAGGCGTTTGGTGTTTTAGTCTGACCCGACCTAATTTCACATTATGACATACGATCAGGAACTGCATTGGCCTACTTCTGTTGTTTTAATAATTAATATACATGCTCCTGGTATAGCATGAAGGTGTTTAAAATGGCATGAAACGTGTTTAAAATATAATAAAAAGCAACACTGTATCAAGAGAAAACATGGATGGCCATATATTTGTAATATGTATCTTGAACTTAACATTTATCGTCGATCGTGTAGATTCCATAAGATTTTGAGAACCACAGTACACATATGGTATACACCCTGTAAAAATGTTTCATATTTTCTTTCTTATTAATTTTATTTAAAAGTCTTTTTGTTAATTATCAATTTTATTTTAAAGTAAGATATTTAAAATTGCGTCAATGAATGAAAAGCTTCCTCTCTCTCTCTCTCTCTCTTTCTCCCTCTCTCTCCGAAAGCTGACGAAGTATTTTTTTAACTAGATTGAAAAGACCTGGGGAAGTTACAAGTTTTATTTCAGCAGTTTCTACAATAAAGGAGTTTTTTTTTTTAATATTTTTATAAATATCGTGAAATACCGGTATCTGATTTTCATATCGCGATATATTATCGTGGTGGATAATACCGCAATATACCGATATACCGGTAATATTGCACAGCCCTACCCGTTTAAACGGTACCGTTTCGTTTACTGCTATATGTTTAAACGTTTACAAAATTCAGTAAACGTTTCACCCTTATTGATCATTTATATAATTCACTGCTCACAGTCTTCAAATTTGTGTATATTTTTCCATGGCACCTTTACCCATGTGTTATGAATATTTCAGTTTCGCAGGAATAATATCAATGTTGATAAAATATGAATTTTAACACACCATCCTTTTAAGAGGTAACAGGTTTGTTATAATAATATAAAACTTCTCTGTGAATATAAATGTATTTCAATTAAACGAACATTATACATGGAATACGTCAGAACTTTATCTTTTTTAATATTGTGAAGAAAAAAGCAATACCAAGTTCGTTAAAAACAAATATTTAATGACCAAACATAAAAACAGTGATATATGTGAGATTTGTGTGCGTACACATTATCTGGTAAGTCAATGACGTTTTCCTTTCATTAGAAAATAATATACTTCATTTTTGTTTTTCATCGCGATTTCAGAAAACATCTGTGTCCGTTTTTGGTTTTAACATTTATAACAGAATACTAGATTTAGCGCTTTTGACAGGTGATACTGCTAATTTAGTAATAAATATGCATGTTTCCTAAATTTTTATGCATTAATGAATTCATTTAAACAAAGAAAATATTCATGAAAAGTTTGAATAAATTCTAAGCACCTGTAAAAAAGAAATTGCGAAAAATCCGGGACCGTCGGGCGTCGGGAAGACTAGAGTATGAAGAGTTGTCGTTCGTTTCTCTTTCAGTGTATGGTTATTATGCCACACTAAAAATGAGTTCTATAACGAAAAACTTTTGAGGTTCTTTATAATTTAGTTTTACTTTGAACGAAATCTAATATTCAAAATAAAATTACTTTATCAGTACATTTTATTACATTTCGTAATATGAAAATTAGATCAAATCAGGAGAAAATGACATGAACTATTTGTGGCGGATGTTTATGCATGTTTTCTGTTGAATATCATTGGAGTAAATTGGCCGACACAGTAGCCTCGCTTTCGGCTCTATATATTCAACACAAATTACTGCGCATGTTAAATGTGTGATGACCATGGGAGATTGAACATAGTTCAACTCCCAAAAATACTCTCTTTTAAACCCAAAGGTTAAAAACATTAGTATATTTTCAGATTAACACCTTAAGTCTGAGATGCCTGTGTTGGTTACTGAAATTCAAATTACCGTCTGTGGATGATAACATCAGGAAACTGGCCAATGGAATGTTTGTTATTCTGAAGAACTATGCCTCAGCAGGTGCTTCTAAGGGAGAGAACTTGGAGCTTATTTCTATGGCATTTAAGGTAAAAATTTGCATCTTATCACAACTATTACTATTGATTTAAAGAAAAAAACCTCAATACCTCCCTCCCCTCAATTTTTAGCTCTTCTGAGCCAAAGGCTCAAAGAGCTAATGCTATGGCAATTTGTGCGGTGTGCGTTAACTTTTTAGCTCACCTGAGCCGAAGGCTCAAGTGAGCTTTTCTGATCAAAATTTGTCCATTGTCTGTCGTCGTTGTTGTCGTTGTCGTTGTTGTCGTCGTAAACTTTTCACATTTTCATCTTCTTCTCAAGAACCACTGGGCCAATTTCAACCAAACTTGGCACAAAGTATCCTTGGGTGAAGGGGATTCAAGTTTGTTCAAATGAAGGGCCACGCCCTTTTTCAAGGGGAGATAATTATGAATTTGTTAAAAATTAGTGGCATTTTTAAAAAATCTTCTCCAGAACCGCTTGGCCAGGAAAGATGAAACTCATGTGGAATCATCCTCAGGTAGTGTAGATTCAAATTTGTTCAAATCATGACCCCCTGGGCAAGGGTGGGGCCAAAATGACCGACCCTAGTTTTACATAGGAAAATGCATTTATTGGAAAAATCTTTAAAAATCTTTTTCTCAAGAACCACCAGGACAGGTAAGATGAAACTCATGTGGAATCATCCTCAGGTAGTGTAGATTCAAGTTTGTTCAAATCATGACCCCTGGGGCAAGAGTGGGGCCAAAATGGCCGGCCCAAGTTTTACATAGGAATACATAAGAAAAATCTTTAAAAATCTTCTTCTCCAGAACCACTGGGCCAGGAAAGATGAAACTCATGTGGAATCATCCTCAGGTAGTGTAGATTCAAGTTTGTTCAAATCATGACCCCCGGGGCAAGGGTGGGGCCAAAATGACCGACCCTAGTTTTACATAGGAAAATACATTTATTGGAAAAATATTTAAAAATCTTCATCTCAAGAACCACTAGGACAGGAAAGATGAAACTCATGTGGAATCATCCTCAGGTAGTGTAGATTCAAGTTTGTTCAAATCATGACCCCTGGGGCAAGGGTAGGGCCAAAATGGCCGACCCAAGTTTTACATAGGAATTCATAAGAAAAATCTTTAAAAATCTTCTTCTCCAGAACCACTGGGCCAGGAAAGATGAAACTCATGTGGAATCATCCTCAGGTAGTGTAGATTCAAATTTGTTCAAATCATGACCTCCGGGACAAGGGTGGAGCCAAAATGGCCGACCCTAGTTTTACATAGGAATATATAGGAAATATCTTTAAAAATCCTTCTCAATTACCACTGGGCCAGGAAAGATGAAACTCGTGTGGAATCATCCTCAGGTAGTGTAGATATATATTCAAGTTTGTTCAAATCATGACCTCCGGGGCTAGGGTTGGGCCAAAATGGCCGACCCAAGTTTTACATAGGGATATATAGGGAAACCTTTAAAAATCTTCTTTTCAAGTACTTCAAAGCTATGATTAGTGATATTTATATGGAATCATCCTCAGGTAGTGTAGATTCTAGTTTGTTCAAATGATGAACGCCTGGAGGGGGGGGGGGGGAGTAAATTCAAGCCTGATGTGCTCAGGTGAGCGCTGTGGCCCCTGGGCATCTTGTTAGAATATGGGCCATAACTCAAGAACCCCTTGGCCAATCAGTCTCAAATTTATCACAGGGTATCCTTGGCCCAAGGGCTACCATTTATACTAAAATAAGGGTTGGGACCCTTAAACAAGGGGAGATAATCAGGAAAACAAAACCAAAAGTACTGGTTGCTAAAAAATCTTTTTCTCCATAACCACCAGTCAGATTTTCACCAAACTTACATACAAGGATTGAGATATGTCAAAGATTAAAAATTGCACAGGGAATTACCCTGGGGCAAAGGGCGTGGTCTCAAGGTCACTTCAAAGTTGACCTAGATTTAGAATTAATAAAAACGTTTATATTTTGCTTACTATAAGGAGTAGGATCATCAAATCTCGTAAGTTGATGCATCTTTTGACTTCACATCATGTAAAATCAAAAGTAGGTCACTGTGACCTACTTTTTAAATTTTGCGGGCATTTGTTTTCAGATTGAATTGAAGGCATATTTTGGACACTTTAAGGCCTAGGATCATCAAACTTTGTCAGTTGATGCATCTTGGGTCCTTGAACAACGTCAACTTTTTGAACTTTATGACTTATCCTTTTAAAAACATTTAATCCCTTTAATCCCATTATTTCAGGTACTGACAGGTTTAGAATCATCAAATCTTGTAAGTTGATGCATCTTCAGACCTTAAATCATATTTTTGAAAAGTAGGTCACCGTGACCTACTTTTTTAATTTTGCAGGCATTTGTTTTCAAATTGTTTAAAAAGTATATTTTGATTATCTTCAGACCTACAATCATCAAACTTAGTCAGTAGATGCATCTCAGGACTTCAAAAAATGTTGACCAAAATATAGGTCACGATGACCTACTTTTGATATTTTGTAGCTATATTTAAGTATCTTAGGTATTTATTGGCTTAGAATCATCAAACTTTGTGAGTTGATGCATCTTGGGTTTTCAAAGAGTGACGACCAAAAAGTAGGTCACCTTGACCTACTTTTGGCAATTTATGGCTCTATTTAAGTATCTCCGGTACTTATTGGCTTAGAATCATCAAACTTTGTCAGTTGATGCATCTTGGGTTTTCGGAGAATGAGGTTCAAAAAGTAGGTCACTATGACCTAGTTTTGACATTTTATGGCTATATTTAAGTATCTCCTGTACTTATTGGCTTAGAATCATCAAACTTTGTGAGTTGATGCATTTTGGGTTTTCCGAGAGTGACGACCAAAAAGTAGGTCACGGTGACATACTTTTGGCAATTTATGGCCTTATTTAAGTATCTCCTGTGCTTATTGGCTTAGTATCATCAACTTTGTCAGTAAAAGCATATTGGGTATTCGGAAAATGACGTCCAAAAAGTAGGTCATGATGACGTAATTTTGACATTTTATGGCTATATTTATGTATTTTAGGTATTTATTGGATTAGAATCATCAAGCTATGCGAGTTGATGCATCTTGGGTTTACAGAGAATGTCGACCAAAAAATAGGTTACGGTGACCTACTTTTGAATATCTCAGATACTTATTGGCTTACAATCATCAAATTTTGTCAGTTGATGCATATTGGGTTTTCAGAGAATGTCGACCAAAAAGTGTCACAGTAACCTACTTTTGACATTTTATGGCTTTATTTAAGTGTCTCTGGCATTAATATGTTTAGAATCATCAAACTTTGTGAGTTGATGCATTTTGGGTTTACAGAGAATGCCGATCAAAAAGTAGGTCACGGTGACCTACTTTGAATATCTGAGGTACTTATTGGCTTAGAATCATCAATTTTTGTCAGTTGATGTATATTGGGTTTTCGAAAATCATCTACTAAAATTTAGGTCACAGTAACCTGCTTTTGATATTCTATTGCTATATTTAAGTATTTCAAGTACTTATTGGCTTAGAATCATCAACCTTTGTCAGTTGATGCATATTTGGTTTTCAGAGAATGTAGACAAAATAAGTTGGTCACAGTGACCTACTTTTAAATATATCAAATACTTATTGGCTTAGAATCTTCGATTTTTGTCTATTTATACATCTTGAGTCCTCAGAAAAATTCAATCTTAAAGTATGTAAATGTGGCCTACTTATTTTTTTTTCATTTAACTTTATTAAAATATCTTCAGTCCTAAATGGCTTAGAATCATCAAACTTTGTCAGTTGATGCAAGTTGGGTCTTAGGATACTTAGGGTTAGAGGCTTCAAATAGAAGTGATAGATTGTAATTATCAGAAGAGTGATTCAAGGCCCTTTGGCCTCTTGTTTTTTTAAATCATAAATTGATTTATATAGGCGGTGACTGTATTGGTAAGAGATGTGAAGATTTACAAACTGAATCAAACACAACTCCAAGTTCTGTTGACGTTCTGTGAGGAAGACTTGTATGATTACAACAGACAGAGCACCGCCTTCTCTCTTCTAAAGGTAAATTCCTAGGGATTTTGTAAATATGATGAAATTATATTTTAAGTAAAGTTGTATTTCTTAAAGCTTTAAGATATAATATGAACTTATCGAAATCCATATCTAATAAATATGCTCAAGATAAAGCAAAATTGTGAATTTGTCTGCCCTTGGCATTTCATTATAAGCATGTTTTGTTGTTGTTTTTCTGTAGCTTCCAAAGAAATTGCATGAATTTTTAAGTAAATTATGAAAGATTAACATTTTTTCAGGCCATATTGTCTCGGAAGTTGAATGTGCCAGAGGTGTTGGAGTTGATTAAGAAGGTGGAGGGTATGTCTATCACAGCTGACTCTCCCCATGTCAGGAGGGAATGTAGACAGGTAACAGAAGGTTTAGTGGGATTTTACTTAATTTTGAAACAAATTGAACTTTTTGGACTTTTTAAAGTCAGCTGACTCTAAATTTCTTTATGTTGTCCTTTTCATCAATATTTTTTTATATACACATATATTATGGAAGTATTTGTATCTTTGATTTTTGAGAAATATTTATATCTTTGGTTATTGGTTTGATATAGATAGCCCTGCAGTACATCCTGGAATATCCCCTAGGAAAGCTCCTTGATAAACACCTAGAGTTTTACGTCACACAGTTGTCTTATGAGATGGAGATGGGACGTGAATCAGCATTGGAAATGTTGGCCACAATATTTTCTTCATTCCCTCAGGTTCATACACTTTATTTCATTTTTTTTTTTAGAAACAGCAAGTTCATTTCAAGTACATATTAATATTTAACAGTGTTTGCTGTAAAAAAAAAACATCTCCATACATGTTATATTTTCAGAATATCTTGAATGATCATGCTGGAATGTTCTTTATACCCATGTCAGCAGCTCTTCTTAATGATGAATCCACAAAGTGTAGAAAACTCACAGCATTGGCCATTAAATCTCTTCTACAAAAGGTATCTAAACATGCTTGGATTTTAAAAGAATAGAAATCCTTTTTTCAGACATTTTGATTTATCACATTATCAGAGTTAATGTACAGTGTAATATGTGTTGAAAAAGATTATTATTGAAATCCACATATTTTGTGTGTTTTTAGCTCACCTGAGCCAAAGGCTTTGGGTAAAGGGGATTGGAGTTTGTACAAATGAAAGGCACGCCCTTTTCCAAGGGGAGATAATTATGAATTAGAGAAAAAATTAATGGCATTTTTAAAAAATCTTTTTCTCAAGAACCACTAGGCCAGGAAAGATGAAACTCATGTGGAATCATCCTCAGGTAGTGTTGATTCAAGTTTGTTCAAATCATGACCCCCAGGGGTAGGGTGGGGCCAAAATGGTTGATCAACGTTTCACGTAGGAATATATAGGAAAAATCTTTAAAAATCTTCTTCTCATGAACCACAAGGCCAGGAAAAATGAAACTCATGTGGAATCATCCTCAGGTAGTTTAGATTCAAGTTTGTTCAAGTCATGACCCGTGGGGGTAGGGTGGGGCCAAAATGGTCGATCAAAGTTTAACATAGGAATATATAGGAAAAAACTTTAAAAATCTTCTTCTCATGAATCACTAGGCAGGAAAGATGAAACTCATGTGGAATCATCCTCAGGTAGTTTAGATTCAAGTTTGTTCAAATCATGACCCCCAGGGGTAGGGTGGGGCTAAAATGGTTAATCAACGTTTTACATAGGAATATAAAGAAAAAATCTTCAAAAATCTTTTTCTCAAGAACCACTAGGCCAGGAAAGATGAAACTCATGTGGAATCACCCTCAGGAAGTGTTGATTCAAGTTTGTTCAAATCATGACCCCCAAGAGTAAGGTGGGGCCAAAATGGTTGATCAATGTTATACATAGGAATATATAGGAAAAATCTTTAAAAATCTTCTTCACAAGAACCACTGGGCCAGGAAAGATGAAACTCACGTGGAATTATCCTCAGGTAGTTTAGATTCAAGTTTGTTCAAATCATGACCCCCAGGGGTAGGGTGGGGCTAAAATGGTTGATTAACATTTTACATAGGAATATATAGGAAAAATCTTTAAAAATCTACTTCTCAAGAACCACTAGGCCAGGAAAGATGAAACTGGTGTGGAATCATCCTCAGGTAGTTTAGATTCAAGTTTGTTCAAGTCATGACCCACGGGGGTAAGGTGGGGCCAAAATGGTTGATCAACAATTTACATAGGAATATATAGGAAAAATCTTTAAAAATCTTCTTCTCAAAAACCACTGGGCCAGGAAAGATGAAACTCATATGGAATCATCCTCAGGTAGTTTAGATTCAAGTTTGTTCAAGTCATGACCCCCGGGGGTAGGGTGGGGCTAAAATGGTCGATCAAAGTTTAACATAGGAATATATAGGAAAAATCTTTAAAAATCTTCTTCACAAGAACCACTAGACCAGGAAAGATGAAACTCATGTTGAATCATCCTCAGGTAGTTTACATTCAATTTTGTTCAAATCATGACCCCTTGGGGTAGGGTGGGGCAAAATGGTTGATCAACGTTTTACATAGAAAAATCTAGGAAAACCTTTTAAAATCTTCTTTTCAAGTACTTTAAAGTCATGCTTAGTGATATTTATAGGGAATCATCCTCAGGTAGTGTACATTCCAGTTTGTTCAAATCATGATCCCCTGGCGGTTAAAATTCAAGGCCCCTTCCCCTCCACCCCCTACCCTTAGTAAACTTTCAGTTCTGATCTTATATGTGCTTTTTCCTTGCCAATTGCTCTGGTGAGTGATGTGGCCCCTGGGCTTCTTGCTGTTTCAATCATTGGATTTTGTTGTTATTTATATTTGTGTTTTGTTTACATTTACATTAAAGATAGATCACAATTCAAGAAAGGAACTCTTTAACATCACCCAGAGGTGGTTTACAGATGACAAGGTATTTAAAAAAAAAATTGAGTTTCTACTTTTTCATCTCTGTCTTAGCAGTTAGTAGTACATGGTCACTAAGATCTTTATCAATATTAATATTTATAGAAAAACCATCAAATCCTTGCTGCTCAGCTGACCGGTCTATTTATAGAAGTAGAGTCCACAAAGTTTTCCCACCAATTGTCTGTGATATTACCTTTAATTCAACGGCAGATAGACCCAGGAAGATATGAAGAAAATGTGTGTATTTTTTTCTTGCTCTCTCAGTATAATTATACATTATATTATTACATGCATATTTCTAATATTTTTTGTAAAATTGATGAACAGAATGATATTATTTTGGAGAAAACTGCTTTACTTTAAAATTCATTAAAAAAATCACAATTCTTTTTTGAGTTTATCAAATATGGAGATCTCATTGCCCAGATTTGTTCCAGCATTTAGCATTTTTAAGGATAAGTTTTATTGTTTTATTTTTAGCCCCTAAGTTCTGATGGAGAAACAGAGAAAGACAGACTACTTTTCAACTGTTTAAATACACTCCTAAAGTTACTGAGAGAATGTGACATAATCAGGGATGTTAAATGGACAGAAGAAATGAACATCATATGGGGTAAACCTTAATCTAATTTTCAATTACTTTTCTCGTTTCCAAATGAAATTGATTTCAGAATGTTTTTTTGAACCAAGGCGATTATATGTAAGATTCAGATGAATTTCACTATTTCTACTATGACTTTTGTGCTAGATAAAGACAGAAAATATTTCAAAGTTTTTGTAATGTTCAGTGATGAGTTTTCACTTTTGTAGAATATGTTGTGAGTCACTTGGAGTACGAACATATGTGGGTGCGGTTAGCATCCTGTCAACTGATTGGTCTTTTGTTTGCTGCATGGACTCCAGAGGAAATTTTACAGCCTTCTAGTTCTGCTCAGGGTGATTTCATTAAATCTGACTCCATCAAAAAGGTACAGCATACAACATATATAAACTTCATTTCTGTTTTCTCTATTTGTAAATATTTTCTTACCAATTTTTTATTTCTGTTTTAGTTGGATATCCCAGCTACAGTCACAGTTTCTGACAGAGGAATTAGCCAATCAAATCATCAAAAACATGGTGTTTATTACCAAGGTAGCCAATAACAAATTAAATTCGTTTAAACAAATTCAAAGGTTTGTTATCAGGAATTAAATTCGTTTGATCGAATTCAATAAACAGGGTTTATAGAAAAATATATATGAATTCGATATAACGATTTGTCGAATTCGTTGTAACGCATTTAATTCATGATAACAAATTATGGAATTTGTTTCATTGAATTCAATTTGTTATAACAAGTTTTAGAATCCGTTAAAACGAGTTTAATTCGTTATATCGGATTCAAAAATATTTTTCGATAGGTCCTAAATGGGCTTCCATACTGTCGCCTTATCTTCACTTATCTTCACCTTTTCACTGTGACAATTATAGTGTCTGGGATAGGCTTTGGTGTTATGCCTGTACTCTGTTAATCATTTAAATAATAAAATGCTTTATTTGTTTGTTAGTACATGTTCAAAAATTAATGTCGCAGCTGTTGCAGAAAAAATACATAAGCGGGTTATATAATTTTTTCTGCAATAGCTGCGACGTTGATTCCGTACTAACAATCAAAGAAAGCATTTTATTGTTTATATTTACCTCTGTATTAAAAATCATTCAAAGTAAAATTAAATCTGTTAAAATATTGTAATTAAGATGAATATGTCATTGTATGTGTAATTGATGGAAGAGCCATTGTTCAAGAAATCTACACACGTGGTTTGCTCATTGTTGTTCATGCACTGATTAATGGCAATGGTCTTATTAAGAAACAAAGGAAAAATATGAAATGCATAAATTCTTCAAACATCTTCTCTGTCTCTAGATATTAAGTAGACAAACGAATTGCATGTTTATGATGAACAAGGATGTCTCTTCTAATATTGTGAAATTTATGGTCTCTAGGTTAGATGTTCTGGTGGATGGCAGAACTCTATTGATATCAATTATATAACGTACGAAAAGCATAAGTATATAAAATGTTTTCGTATATTTGTACTGGAATGAACGGTAGGTAAATAGATACTGAGTTCTAGACTTACTATATTGCTGATCCCTGATCATAGTTTTTTTTCATATCTTCACCTATCAATTTTTGTTTACTTCATTATTTACAGTGCTATAATATACATGTACTCGCATGCCCGTTAAACCCTTAGACCTCATGACTGTCTAACATCCTAACATCCCTCTGTCCATTTGTCCCTGTAAACTTCTCTGGGGTATAGATTTATTATGGAGAAACAAGGAACGCTAATATACTTTGTACAGAGATTGCCTATCATCCAACTATATATCATTTGGGGAAGTTCAAGTTCACTTGTTGAAAAAGTATAAAATTCTTCGAGTTAAATCTTTGATTTTGTAATGGAGAATCACTGGAAGCTCATATTGATTGCATGTGATCCAGGGTGTGTCTTGACCCTGACCCAAAGTTATTCCAACAGGTTCAAGGTGACAGGTTGGAAATTCTTATCGGTAATATAACATTGTAATGGAGATTTATTTGGAGCTCATACTTAGTACAGAGATTGCTTTTGTCACAAAGTTAATTACTTACCTTAACTCAAGGGCAATTCGGCAAGTTCAAAGTCACTAGTAAAAAAAAAGTATCTTGTCTTGGCTTTCTAATGGAGAATCTCTGGATTTTCCTACTTAGTTCAAAGATTGCTGATGTCCTTGGTATTTGTCATGATCTTGAGGTCTTTTCATTCCAACAAGACTACAGTCACTGGCAGATGTATAAAAAAATTTTTGACTGCATCTTTGTTAATTGGAGAACCATTGGAAGTTTGTATTTGGTTCAGAGATTATAAAAGTCCCGTTGGTGTCTCATGACCTTGATCAGATTATTCAAGGTCATTGGTATAAAAAGTGTAAAATCCATAACATTTTTATAATTTTCTAGAAAAATACCAGATCTGTTTACTCATAAAAACCAGTTTGCTCTTAGATTGACAGCTTTCAAGTTTAAAAAAATCCCGTAAAAAAGTATGAAGTTTTATGAAGTCTCGATTTTGGATATCAGAAATACTGCTAGGGATATACTAGAGAAAATTATCTCAGTCTTCCCTTGGACCAATACATGTATTTTCTCATACATTTTATCAGGACTTAAATGAACAGGTAACCAAACTTGCTCTTTGCAACATCATCATAAAATTGTATTATATTTTCCAAAATTAGAAAACACAGATCACAAAATGGCAGATGAATTATTTCATCACAAATATTGCAAAGATCCATTTAATGGCAATATGTTTTGCAACATATATCGAGATAAATTGCAACAAATAAAAAAAAATCATAGGTTCAATTTTTGTGCTACACTATTCATGTGCACCTTAATTTTTTTGCCTGTATCCAAACTAGGGAATTCGGATGTTTGCAGCAGGAGTCTCCGAGATGTAAGTAAAATTGAAACATTCTTGTAAACAAGACTATCCATATCACCAATATATTGTGATAATTGATTTTCCAAAGAAGGCATAAAAGTAAACCATTTTCATTAAAGTCAAAAATATATGTTTCAGGGTTATAATATGTATTGTTCTAGACTAATAATGATGAATTAATCTTGAAATCTCTCCAAGACCATTTTACCATACCTGCGGTTTTTTTTTATTTGTTTGTTTGTTTATTTATTCCTTAAGTCATATGACTTATCAGATAACATAATTACAAAATACATGCAGGATGTAAAGTGCAGAACGAATATACATAAATGAAATATTTACATATAGGCCTACTTCGTTTAAGTTAATATTGCTTGTATACATGTACAATATTTCTAACTAAATATAGAAAAAATACTCAGTTTACAGATGTAAATCTCTAAGTGCTTCTGCTTTTTTGAGGATTTTCCCTATATTACAAAGTTCACTCACATTTTCAGTTGATAATAAAATTGTAATAGTTTATACATGCTAGGTCTATACCAATAATACTTTTTAATATACAATTATCTGTACTTATGGTAAAGTGGACATTTTTAAATAAAATGATACTCATCTTCGACCTCCATCAGACAACAAAAACAAAAACTATTCTCTCTAGGAATATGAGTAAATCTTACCTTCTCAATCATTAATACATGTGCGCTTTATCTATATTTTGTAATCAATTGAATATACTTGGATGGAATTGGTTTCATTAAATGTGATTGCATGCACAGTTAAATTTGTTAAATATCTATACACAAAACACTTTGAAGACGAAGAAAAAAAAACCACATTCTTGTTGAAAACAGTCAATTAGTCTTTGTTTAAATTCTTAAAAAATATATTTTTGTAATATTTTGACAATATCAAACGTCTTAAAATCCTACTGAAAATAACAAGTATTTTACATTAAGTAACCAATTATATTTTGTACAAGAACTTGTCTCAATTCTCTCATGCATATACATTTCGATCTACAGATTTCTGACTCAAATAGTTTTAGCCAAACCTTTATAATTCAAAATTATCTTTGAATAAAAAGAGGTAAGCGACCAAGTTCATTATAAATCATCAATGACAAAGTATTTTTTTTCACTTATAACATAATTTTGAGATATTCTAAATGTATTTTCTCTATAGCATCACCTTTCTGGAATCCCCATATTTCACTTGGATAGTTAAAAAAACTACTTACATAAGTATCAAACAAAGAGAGACGAGTAACATAATTAAAATGCACATTTTTCAGAGACTTCAAAAGTTTAAACATACATTTCCTCCCCTGAGTAGCTAATTTTAACTGAGTTTTATGAAAATTACCTGTGTATGTCAAAGTGAGACCAAGATAAGTAAACTGATTAACAGCTTCAACTTTATCATCATTATAAAACCATTTAATATTTTCAATCGACCAGATTTTCTAAATACTACTTTTAGTTTTACTCACATTTACAAATAATTTTCAATCATAACAATATGAATAAATCACATCAAGCATTTTTTTGTAATCCTTAAGGAGAATCAGAAAACAATGCTATATCATCTGCATATAACATTAAAAACAATGACACTTCTTGGAGACTAATATCTTGACAATTGGACATGATAAAAGCCTTCTCAAAATCATTTAAATATAAAGAAAAAAGTAGTAGAGACAGGACCCCTTGTTCTACTTTGAAAAAGTCACTAAAATTGTTTTTTTTTATTTCACACAACTCCTAACATTTTTATACAGAGACCATATACATTTTCCCCTTGATCCCTAATGTTATGCGCTTTTTAAAAAGATAATTTCTATTTATACCTATCAAATGCCTTATGGAAGTCCACAAAACAGCAGTAGAGTTTTTTCCCGTTGGAAAGATGTTTATCAATTATACTTTGCAGTACAAAAATTGCATCTATGGTACGAACCCAAGGTCTGAATTCAGACAGTGCATCCATTAAAATAAAGTTACTTTCGGACTATTTCATCAGTCTATTATTAAGTATAGTTGTAAATATTTTTAACATACAACTCATGAGGGTAATGCCACTATTGGTATCTGTGACATCTGGGTCAGCCTTTTAAAGAATAGGTACTATTTCACCTTCACACCATGTGAGGGAAATATTACCTGTATCAAATATAAAATTGAATATTCTTGTTTAAATGGGACTTAGGTCTTCACACATATATAAATTATCTTTTCCTGGCGATTTTCTGCTTTTTTAACAGCTTATAACCTCTACAACCTCTTCAACAGTTATATTTACATCAACTTCATCAAATACAGCATTCATATCATATTCTGTATTCCAAAAATCAGTATATGTAACATCTTTACAGACGCCTAGATTTCTTAAATGTTCGAAAAAATCTTTTACACTAAGATTACAATTATTTTGTGGCTTATTATTCTTAAAAACGTAAAAACAACTCCCTGGCCGAAGTGCGCCTCAGATATTATGACTGGCTACCTTGACATCACCATAACTCACATCTTGCCCTATTCATACATTTTTATAATCGTTTTTACATTTAATCAACAATTGTCTATTAAAATGGCTTCTACATACACTGAATATGAAAAGTTTCTTTTTATAAATTCTATACAGCTCTTTACATCACTCATTGAATCAGGGTCTATTTGTAACTACTTCCTTATGTTTTTGTTTATTACAAATAATATATTTACAATATGGCTCAAAAACCTCGTTCACACAATGTGTGAAATTAGAGATATATTCCAAGATATCGACACCATTCTCCATAGAGGATACTATACCATTTAAATCGTGTAAAACACTTTGTAAATTCTCTCTTATTTTAGATATATTATCTTGATTCCATCTATAAACGTAACCCGTACAACTTATCCTATTGAAATCCTGAGAAATTTGGTCCAGTGGTTCTTCCATACATTTTTAAAGGTAAGAAATATTGGTGCGTGATCGGATTATTCATTAAAATCAAGAACCTTAAAATAGACTTAAATGCGGCCCAACTCTTTCATTTGCAGGTCAAAATTTATTTTTGTGAAATATAGCATGGAAGCAGTTGTTTATTATATGACATTTAATTGTCTATCATCAAAAATTTCACCAAATGTTATTAATTTGCCCTGCAAAAGAATATAACCGCGATTATCATGAAAGGCGTTATTCTTAGTTTCTATCGCCACCGAAATTGAATCCTTGCTAAATTCTGCTAGTTAGGTAATAGGCAGTCCAAGCTATACACTCAATAATAATATGTAGATCTTGAAATCTTTTAATTCTCAGATAAATGTGTTTATTTATCAATCAAGTTTTCCATGAAGATTTATTCGGACAAGTGGCTGAGGAGAAGGAGGTGGCGGGTGTTACTAGTAAACTGTTTGATGCCAGGTTCATAAAAAGTTACGACTCGTACAAAATACTGGCACAAGTCATCAGTAAAGAATCTCTCATGGCATTCATCACTCCACTTAAAGTGATTGGGCAAATTTAGTTTATTTGGTTTTTATTGAGTATTTTACCTTAGATATATCAAACCCTTTGATATTTCAAAGTATTTTCTCGTACTGTCGTTGAGATGGCGAGGTTTTACTATAATTATGTGTATATTAGTATGAAATACCTGTCCAGTATATTAGTTTTTGTATGGTACTGTCAAATATATATCGTGCAAATGAAAAAAAAAAGTACAGCAAAACTCATTTAGTACGAACAGGGGTATTGTGAATTCACGAATAAAGCGAAGTTATCTTGGATCCCAAGCTATATAATTTTAATTTAATTCCTCAAACCGATATAAAGAATAACAGATATAACGAAGGAATTTTAAAGGATCCTGTGAATGCGTTATAACCGAGATGTGCTGTATATGCAAATCAATAAATTCACACCGAACTTATTTATAAATGTAAAGAAAACATTTTCAGTACCTGTAAAATATTTATTAATGATCTGATAATAAAAACTTGTAAATCTGTATAAAAAATCAAAACATTTTTATTGCCCAGATTTTTTAAAAGCTATTTTGTGCATGCGCTGCATTTGCAAAAATATTTCTTTGTAAAAAGGAATCAATAAAGTATAAATGTAAATCTAACTGAATCTTTTTTTTCACTTGAATGCAAAACTGTCGCTTTCATAATGTTTTAATCAATCATTGTTAAAAAGAAATGTCAATTGAATCTAAAATTATAATAGTCTTTATATACATGATAAACTGGATGTTTCTTAAAACAGATACTGCAGCTGCTACTCGTAACTGTGACGTCATCATGTGAATGACATAACTGCTTTATATAAGAACGTATTGAGTATAAGCTACATGGAATTTACGTCATGAAAAAATTTAAGACGTTTGATTAAAAAAATAATAATAAAACATTTGTAGCCTTTTGATTCGGTATTATCCCTTGATAAATATACCTTAGAGAAAGGTCTATACTGTATATATACTATTTATCTTCCAGTTTAATGTTTATTTTATTTCTGAATTTTTTATGAAGAGATGGAATGAGTTAAAGAATTAAACAACTTTAACATTGTGTTTGTGTTTGCAAAAGTTTGTACTATTTACCGGGATTTACCAAAGTTAATTCCCATCACTGTTGTTTTTTGTCCACCCGTTTTGGACTTTGAGGTTCATAACTAAATCATTCAGTTTATTTGGCTGCATGAACACATATATCCTTTATTCCATATACTTAATTCGTTTCACTCTATGGTATTCAGCAATGTACAAAATGTCATTGCAGTCTATACTGAGATCACATGGTTCGTATAATACACAGTTGTCTATGCACAGAAGGAATTGTCCATTCTGATCAATGATGTGTATAATATTATTACCAATGTCAGCAATCAGGATGTGACACATGCTATCTGTGGTAATACCTTGTGGAGTGAAGTTTCTGTATTTCATTCCTTTGTAGTTGAACCTGTAATGTCCTTCATTGTTTAACACTAAAACTGAACTTTGATCATTCAGTACAATGTCAAGGTTTTTGTTTTTATCAATATGGGGCACAAATAATGAAGAGAAATCATCATTTTTTAATTTTATTTCTTGTGTGATTGTAGAGAAAGAATAACGTACGATTTTTCTATACTTGGTCCATTTTGAAATAATTGTAGTATGAATTAAGAGGTCATCAGTAGAGGTGCAGCAGATAGCATCTGGATTCCATTCTGTTTCTTTGAGTAGTTTACATTTTATCTCATCACCCTTCACAATGTTAATTAAACTCTTCTCCTTATCAATATACACTAGATGTCCCTCTCTGACCGACAACGCCCATGGTTCCATATTCTTTTTAGTGATCTTCCTTAACACCTCCCCCTCTTTGTTCATATGTTTAATGATTCCACTGAATCCACTGACCAAGAATTGATCTGTTTGAGGAATACAAGCTATGTTACATATTTCTTCATCTGTATTTATATCTCCTATTGTAAGTGGCAAATCAAGAAACTCCTTTACAGCTTTTTCTGCATTGGATTGGGGAGCTTTTAGAACCTGTCCTTGAATGAAAGATTTCATTGACTTTGGAATGTTACCAATTAAGTTACACAATGCTTGTTCTGTGAGTTTTTTGAGACTGAAGTCTTGCACTGTTAGTTCAAATCTGGAATGGATAGTTCTGAACTTTTCATTCTCTGAAGTGTAATTGACAAGTTTAGATGAATCATTCGAGGCAAGGATGAGTTTGTTTTCATCCATTTTTGATTGAATTGATAAGAAGCATTTCTGGAAATCTGCTTCCAGGGTCTTAATTTCATTAACATCCTCTCTTTCCACTTTTGTTGCATCACTCTGATATTTTTCAATAACCTTATCTACTAACTTGCACAATGTTTTTCCAATTTCATCAATGGCTTTTTTTCTTTCAGCATGTTTTTGTTCAATTCTTGATAACATTTCTTTCATTTCTGTAAGTATTGATTCATAAACAGGTGAAATACTAGTTTCAAGTTCTTGTAGATCTTTTCTGATAAGCTCCTGTTTAGAGCTATAAATTTCAGAAATTGGTGGCACAGTGTGATTTTCATGGGATCCAGAGGCTAGACATTTCTGACATATTGGGGATTCACATTGTTCACAGAACATTTCACATTGTTTTTCACCATGGACACTGCATTGTGGTGGAATGACTTCAGATTTTTTGAACTCAAAAGTAACAACGTCATGTCTGATGGTGGGACTAGAAATCACATGGTTACCTACACAGTCCTTACAAAGATCAACATGACAGGTGTTACACACAGTTTCTGCAGCAGAGTTTCTATCTTTTCCGTGGCAAAGTTGACAGCGTTTTACATCTTGTGCCCTGTTATGAGGATCTGATGATGTTGCCATGGCTCTCTAATTAAGTTCTTGGAGTTTTTTGAACCTGTGCCAATAATGAAAAAATACACAGTTATCATTCTGCCTTATGAGAAATATATACATAAATATATTTGAAGGAACAAGAAAGCACAAAAAGATTAAATTGGAATAATTTACATATATTTTAAACATGATCACAGTTTGTCTTACCTGTTAAAGATTATCTCTACAAAACATGAAGGCGACCTGATTTGTATGTTAAAGGGTATGTATTATTATCTTTAGGTGTGTGCTTAGAATAAACACACCATACATTAAGCAATTTAAATGTCTACCTGTGATATTGACACAATGGTCTGCATAGTTTACTTTGTAACTGATGTGTAATAAAATTTCTATATCTCGTGAATTTGAAAACAATCTATTATTTGTAATTTGCATTATCCTTATTTAAAATTAGGAAATGAATGAAGCATATGAAAATATTATGTTCACATATTTTTTATTTCTAATTTACACTTTGAAACTGTGATCATTTCCTACTGTCAACCCTGCCTATCCATGAATATTAATCAGGCCTTTGAAAACACTTTGTGACGTCAGGTACATGTATATCGCATTGCAAAAATCCTTACCTTTATTTAAATTTTTTTTTGTAAATTTTGTATGATATTATTAAATATATATACAACTGTAAATTTTAACCTGTTAAAGATTGACTCTACAAAACAAGGTAAAGTGTTGGTGTTGGAAGCAAATCCAAAGTGGTGGTGGGGACTGCACACTTCTGTGCATAACGAAAATGTCTACCTGTAAAAAACCTGACAAGCAAAATAAAAGAAAAGGAAAACCGGATGTGTAAAAATTTTCCTTGTCTCAGTGAATTTGAAATCCTATTTCACTTCCTTCATAGTATCCCCCCCCCCATGTACATGGTGGGGCATGAATAAAGCATATGACAAACATTCAAAGGGATGCATATATTATTTCAATATTTTTTAAAACGTATGATTCATTACCTACTGTGTACCTATCCAGTGAATATTAATCAGACCTTTGAAAACACGTTGTAAAGGTATTATCTTTTGCTGGTCTTACCTTCATTATATCCCCCGCTTGTAAAGTGATTTATATATTGAATTTTTTTTTGTTTTGAAGTTATTAAACTTTGGAATGCTATGGACACTCTAAAATGTGGATTTAATGATATAAATGTTTATACCTTTATTTTTGTTTGAATACCCTACACAATATTTATGATTTCATTGAATTCTAAAACAAGAAATAGTTTAAAGAAGACATATCTTTGATTGTTAATTTTTTTTCCTTTATGTAAATTCAAGAAAAATATAAATTTTTCAGGTAAATTTTGATAAAAACCCTATTCTATCATTAATACTGAAAAATTCTTATTGAACTTTAGAAGAAAATGATAGAGAGGTGAAATTAATCCCTTTTTATATCATATGCTGCTGAAAATTTAATTTGCCTGAATTTTTATCTTTATATATATTTATATATAAGTGAATTTCAACCTTTGTCTGGGGGCAACTGCTGTTTAAAGTATTGAAGTTGGAAGCAAATTCATTATAAGTATGTGCGTGTGTGGAAGACTGACATTTTATATAACACAATTAGCTTCATTATTGTTTAAGTATACCTTCAATGTTAAGTTGTTCTTTAATGCCTAATGTAAATACAAGGATATTATCTACAGGTTTTTGGATATTCAGGAAAATTATCTTGAAATTTTAAGAATACAGTTGCCTTGCTGTTGCTTATTTCTTCATATATTTTTTAATCATTCTGTAAACTGCATCTTTATTAAATTCTACCCCATGGCAGGGCCCTTCCTGACTGGTCAGTTTTCTAGTTATACTACTGTGTTAACATAGATTTGTTGCACTTGATTAAGGATTCTGTTGAATTAAAAATTCTTTGTTTCTTGCAGGTGCTAGATACTACACACAGCCACACTATAGCAAGAAAGGTACAGGAAGTCCTGAAGAAAGTGGTGACAGGGTTACTGGACAACCCAGGACTGGATACAGAGTCTCTGATGATATTTACCCACGGATTGATCACTCAGTCATTTCCTCAACTCTCTGACAAACAGAGGTAGGTTGAATTTCTGTATACATGTACATTAAAATTTTATTTCCTTTAAAAAATAAAATGGGAAAAAATTTAAAATGGTGCAAAATCAAATACATTTACCGGAAGTTATTTTAAAAAAAAAATGAAAGAATGTAGGCAAATTTACAGCGGGGCAAAACTGTTCTCAAGTGTGAAAGGCATTTTTAAAATACCTTTGTGCATACTGTGAAATCACTAATTTTCATGGGGGTTTAATTTGTGTTGTTTTCGAAGCAAATCGAAAACTGACCCAGAAAATTCATGACCACCTCAAACCTCCAAGTGTCCCGCTGCTACCATTTTGCAACCATTTAATTCAATATAAATGGCAATTTGGTCATAATTCTGTTTAATAAAAGAATAGTTCCATGTATTGGTGAATTGTCTTAATGCAGCGACCTAAATAGTCTTGTCCAAACTCCAGCTCTTGAAAAAAGGGGAGAACCCTTTAAAATGGACTTTTAAGCATCACTATCTTGAAATTTTAGTCTCTGAATGATTAAATGTACCTTATATCTTTTCTTAGTTTTTGGCATAATAACATGAAACATGAATACATGATAAAGATTCAATGTTTCAGTTGCAAATCGCTTATGAAAAAATTTAGTAAAAATTGAGATTTTAGTTTTTTGTATATAAGGATATCTAGCTGTGACAGACAAATCAATTATTTTACAAATTTGTGAGATAGACAGTTCTATTACATGTATATATATTTTTGGACAACAATAAATTAATAAGATGTTTTAAAAGAATTTTCCGTTTTCTGTTCTTAAAACTTTCTATTATAAAAAGTTTTACCAAAATTTTTATGTAATCTCTCTTTTTTTCCCATAAGTAATGTTTTATAAAATCACAATATTTTAAAATTAACAATATTTAAGTTTAAAATGACTTGTGTTAGGTTACTGAATTCTTTATTCAATTACTACTCTGTGGCTGATAACATCAGGAAATTAAATCTGGCCAATGTCAATTTTTTCTCTAACCTCGAAAAATTACTCCCACAAAAATATGTGATTTTACAATACATTGAAATGTTGGTCATATTTTACATTGATCGAGTCATTAATGTGAGATTTACATAAATAGGGCATTGTTTTGAATGGAGCTAATGCTAATTTTGGAGAAATGTTTTCAGCAAGCGAAAGAAAACTGAAGAAAAAGAGACTCAGTCCTTTAGACCCCCAAGTTGTCTGCTCCTACCAGAGGAACCGAAGCGTGGAGAAGACAAACCTAAACTGAGTAAGAAGACCAACAACCATGTATTGGTGGAGTTTGGTCTTCAGCTCCTGTGTCTGTGTCTGAAGAGGGGCCGCCTGGTGGCCACAGAGGAGAACCACTGTAAATTACAAAATCACCATCTTAGTGGACTGTCTCTTCTAAACATATCAGGGTTGTTCTAAAATAAAGGTGAAGATTTTTTATATCAAATGATTGATTTTATCAACCTTTGATAAACAATCTCTTTGAAATATTTAAGGTGTAAAAACATGATAATATATTTTCAGATTAAAATTTTAAGTCTGAGATGCCATGTGTTGGTTACTGAAATTCAAATTACCGTCTGTGGATGATAACATCAGGAAACTGGCCAATGGAATGTTTGTTATTCTGAAGAACTATGACTTAGCAGGTGCTTCTAAGGGAGAGAACTTGGAGCTTATTTCTATGGCATTTAAGGTAAAACTTTGTATCTTATCACAAACTTACTCTTAATTAAAAAATAATTCAACCCCCCCCCCCCCTTATTTTTCTAAATCATACATGATTTATGTAAGGAATAACAGTATTGGTTAGAGATTGAAGATTACAAACTGAATCAAACCCAACTCCAAGTTCTGTTGACGTTCTGTGAGGAAGACTTGTATGATTACAACAGACAAAGCACTGCCTTCTCTCTTCTAAAGGTATTTGGGAAATTTTTATTCACATTGATTTTTTTTTTGTAACAATTTTTGAAATATTTATTAACTGTATAAATTAATGATTTAAAATTTTTTTAAAAAGTTAAAATGGAGTAAGAGAATATGAACCAGCACTCAAAAATTGTGATGAGTACAAGTACTGTTATTGTGGTTGAATTTACTAAGAAAGTGGATATGTCTATCACAGCTGACTTTTTTATGTCAGGAGGGAATGTAGGGTAACTGTGTGTGTGTTTTGCAGGGCTGTCATTGGAGGGAATGTAGACCCGCAAGCAAAGGGGGTACATAACACAAAGTGTGGGGGAGGGTATGTCTATCACAGCTGACTCTCCCCATGTCAGGAGGGAATGTAGACAGGTAACACAAAGTGTGTAATAAATAACTTTATTTTAAAAAAAAATTGAACATTTTGGACTTTTGAAAGTCATCTGATGCTAAATTTCTTTATGTTGTCCTTTTTCCCCAATGTTTTTTTATATACACGTATATTATGGAAGTATTTATATCTTAGATTTTTGATTTGTTAAAGATAGCCCTGCAGTACATCCTGGAATACCCCTTGGGAAAGCTCCTTGATAAACATCTGGAGTTTTACGTCACACAGTTGTCTTACGAGATGGAGATGGGACGTGAATCAGCTTTGGAAATGTTGGCCACTATATTTTCTTCATTTCCTCAGGTATTTGTAGCAGTAAAACTTATTTAACTGATTAAACAACAATCTGGATTTAGACAACATTTTTCATAGTTAAATTAAAAGGGACTTAAAGTTTATATCAGATTATATGCAAGATTTCCAAATATACAAAATCCAGATGAAACAAGTTTTACTGTACATTTATTTCAAAGGAGTGCTTAAATTTCATGTACTTGTTTATGTTTTATCTGTAAAATATAATAAATGTGCTATATTTATGTTTTAAGAGTAGTTGCTGTAGAAAAAAAGACACCTTTGTATTATATATTTATATTTCAGAACATATTGAATGATCATGCTGGAATGTTCTTTATACCCATGTCAGCAGCTCTTGTCAATGATGAATCCACAAAGTGTAGAAAACTCACAGCACTGGCCATCAAATCACTTTTACAAAAGGTACCTAAAAATGCATGCATTTTATGTAAGAAAAAAAAATCTTTTCTTTGCGACATTTTAAAGGTAATTGATTTATAATATTTATTAGAGTTTACAAAGTTAATTTTAGATTTAAGATGTATTGAGAAAGATCATTATTGTGTTGTGCTATTTTAAAATCTTTGCATTTTGTCATTTATATTTGTGTTTTGTTTACATTTACATTAAAGATAGATCACAATTCAAGAAAGGAACTCTTTAACATCAACCAGAGATGGTTTACAGATGACAAGGTATATAAAGGAAAAATGAATTTAACCCTCCCCCCTTTTCATGTATAGCAAAACTTGTTTTGTATGAACACAGATATTGCCAATTTATGGAAGTTATCTTGGATCCCCAGCTATATAAATGTAATGAATACCTTTTACAGATATAATGAATTACGGATATAGCGAAGTCATTTCGAAAGGTCCCTGTGACTTTTACTGTATAAGGAATTTTTTGTGCTTTTCATCCCTCTCTTAGCAATTAATATTACATGGCCACTAATTTAGGATTTTTTCTATTTTTGAAGATAAACCATCGGATCCTTGCTGCTCAGCTGACTGGTCTATTTATAGAAGTAGAGTCCACAAAGTTTTCCCACCACTTGTCTGTGATATTACCTTTAATTCAACAGCAGATAGACCCAGGAAGATATGAAGAAAATGTGAGTATTTTTTTAACTATCTCTGTATACATTTGTAATTAAATATCATGTTTTAACATGCATATTTCTAACACTGTTTCTAAAATTGATAAAGGGGAAAGATATTTTTCCAGAGAAGACTGCTTTATATTGAGAATCATTAACAAAATCACAATTTCTTTGTTTATCAAGTATGGTGATCTCATTGCCCAGATTTATTCCAGCAAATTTAGCATTTTAAACAAACAAGTTGTCATGTTTTATTTTAGCCACTGAGTTCTGATGGAGAAACAGAGAAAGACAGACTACTTTTTAACTGTTTAAATACACTCCTAAAGTTACTGAGAGAATGTGACATCATCAGGGATGTTAAATGGACAGAAGAAATGAACATCATATGGGGTAAACGTTTATGTAATTTTCATTTTTCAGCTGATTTCAATTTTTTTTTCCAAGGCGATTATATGTAAATTGATTTTCATATTTTTAGTAAACAAGACTTCATGCCAATAAAGACAAAAGCATTTAAGTTTTCTGTAATGTGGGTATGATTACATTGTATTGTGACAGATAAAAATATAAAGTTTTTGAAACATTAATTAAACATTGAGTATTGTTTCAGAATATGTTGTGAGTCACTTGGGATATGAACATATGTGGGTGCGGTTAGCATCCTGTCAACTGATTGGTCAGTTGTTTGCTGCATGGACTCCAGAGGAAATTTTACAGCCTTCTAGTTCTGCTCAGTGTGATTTCATTAAAATGGACTCCATTAAGAAGGTACAGAGTATCATGGTAAACTTATCTCTGCTTTTTTAACTTTTTTAAGTGAAGTTAATTAGAAACATAATCTAATGTATCTCACTGTTTTAGTTGGAGAGTTTGGCATTGGATCTGATATCCCAGTTACAGTCACAATTTCTGACAGAGGAATTAGCCAATCAAATCATCAAAAACATGGTGTTTATTGCCAAGGTAGCCAAGCTTCTCTCTGACAGAGAGAGTTCTAGTGACTCGGGTGGAAAAGAAAATGGTGGTACAAAGGACAAAAAGTGTCTTTCATTGCAATGGTTAATCAAGAAAATGATACGGGAAGCAAACCATGAGGCAGTGAACCAGCCCAAAACTACAATAAAGGTAGATATTTATGTTTCTTTTGAATTATTTAGTAAGTATGTAAGTTTACTAATAATTGCACTGAAGAGTTTTTGTAAAATTTTGGCAATGATTGATATCAGTAACAAACCACAAAATTTGTGACAGCATTATTTACTGATAAAGTAGAAAATGTAAAATATTTGAAGGATACAGCAATAGAGAGAAAATTTACTAAAACTCGGCATTACATTTCAAGAAAGTGAACAAAACAGAGTTTCTCTTTGTTTTTTGAAGTGTCATTTTCCATGATTTTCCATCTTTGTTAAATGTTTATATTAAATAAATTTGTGTAAAATTGTTACAAATAAATATTATTTTAGTGTGTTTGATTGTGATGTGTTTAAGTGTGTGTTTAAGTGGGTTAACATTTGTCAGTATGGACCTCGGTCCTCAACTTCTTCCCACTGTTGTTCCTGTGATGATGCCAGCTCTACAAAGGGAGACAAACGAGAATAATCCAAATACTGGTGAGTGTTGGTGATTGAAATAGCAGAGTACTATCTATTACAGTATAATATATTTTAAATTGAGTTGTTCTTTGTAGATGAGAGAATATTTTGATAAAGACATTTTATTATTATTTCAATTCGAATAATCAAAGATAATTCTTAGAAAATGTATTTTCAAAAGGAATTGGGGATAATCTCTTTCATTTCTTTGGTGCCGTACGTAATATAGTATTTTTGTTGTATGTGATATATCTACTACATGTACCTTCACTTATGTATTGGTTCACAAGAAAAGATATTTTTATAAAGCAGCTGTAAATTTTGTATAATAATGATCAAATTATAGATTCGAAAATGCATTAAAAATCTTGCACAGGAAGTGTTGGAAACTCTTTGAATTTCATAGCCCATGGGTGAAAGAAGATTCTGGGCTCTTTAATTGTTTATATAGTGAAAGTAATTAATTCTTTTAAAAATCTTGTTGCCAAAACTGGGTATGAAATAGAGCAGTTTGTTATATTTAATAAGTCTGCCTCTTCCAAAATTATGAATTTCAAGATGCTGTCGAGGTCTGTTGATTATATAATGAATTTAAATACTTGTTATCTCAACTTATAAAACCAAACAACTTTGTACAGTTCTGATGATAAGTTCTTAATTTGTGAATTTTTTGTATTTTCTGTGTTAGGGATGTCAAAATATTTATTTTGCATGAATAATGAATTCTTTGGTAATATTTTGCTTTATAATGCCAATGATCTAAGTATATATTTATTATGAAGAATTTTTTCCAAAATGGTGAATTTCAGGGCCCCTGCATTAGATAGCGTTTTTTAAAATCTGAAAACCCTTTGCGTAATCTGTTTTTGATTTAAATCACCCATTTCATTAAAAATGAAATTTTGTTTACCAAAATTTTGAAATATGTCACCCAGGGTTAAGTTGGGTGCAAACTGTTGGTTAGAAATGAAATAGATTTTCTCTCTGCAATTGATTGATCTGCTTTTAGGTAAAAAGCATGTATGTATCTTTTATGATTAATAAAGAAATTGGAATTTTAAATTTATGAAAAATTCAAGGCTTTTGGTTTAAAATAGTCAAAAAATTCATTGTTGGAAAGTTGTTACATGTTATAAAATATAGCTATGTAGTCTTGCTTATGAAAATTTTATATGTAGTAAAACAACACAAAATAAGAAATATTAGAAAATTTTAAGTGATTGTGATAATATTATTTGTGATAATTATTGTAAAGATAAAAAGTGGGTGGCGACATTATATGATCTCTGTTCTTTACTTTGTCTTATATTATTGAGAATGTCAGTGTGTTTAAGTTCAATGTCATCTTCTAAACTTCTACACTTTTTTGATGATGCCATCTACAAAGGGAGCTGATTAGAATAATAAATACTGCCTTGTTTATATGATTTTAGTAATAGTCATTAACAGTGGATTCAATGAAAATTTGCCAGTGGGCAATATTTCTCAAATTAATGGAAGGGCAGTGTGGATTAATTTTTACTTGCTATTTCTTCATGTCTAAGATTACTCGCGTTAACTTGATTAATGTCAAGAAAATTGCCAGTCTACATGCTCGTTTGGGAGTTCAATTATCAGTACGACCTGTCACATGATTGTCAATCGTAATCATTTTTGTTTAATTTAACAGATTTGTTTTCTCGATGTTTCTGCAAATTACGTTATGTTTATTGATAACGTGCAGTCATGCCTTTGATTCATGATCCTGAAATTCAGTTCATTTTGAACAAACAACCAGCATGCGAGACAAAAGTAACAAAAACGCATACTGGAGACAGCATATTGCTTTCTCTGTATATTAAGTTTCAACATATTTTAAAACAGAAACACTGTCTTGTATTATATATTTTTTCTTTGTTTTTAAAATATCTGTTATATAATGAATTTTGAAACATGTAAAATTTCCCCTCATCCCCATGTTTTGTTGTGACTGTAGTTTTCATATTTTGTAACTTTTTCTTTAAGATATTGAAATATTTAGTAAAATTTCAATATAAAATTATCAAAGTGAACTTCCAAATGTACCTTAAAATTTCATATTTCCTAATAAAAAATATGTTCACAAAACGTAAATTTTATGTGACATTGATCTCATTTTAGATTTATCACTTAAGAGACTTGCACAGGAAGTGTTGGATATACTCAAAAAGATTCTTGGAGTGGAAACATACACCCAGCTTTTTGCCAAAACTCACAAAGAGCAGTTTGACAGAAAGGAGACGAGAAAAAGAAAAGATGCTGTTGAGGTCTGGATGAAACACATTTACTTGGTTATCTGGAAAAAATTACTAATTTATTAAAAAATAAAATTTTATGTATTTTGTTATTCAATTTGGTACCAAAAATATTGATAATTTTTCATAGATATTTTAAAATTAATTGTATTGTCTAAAACATTTACAATCCAAAAGTTATTATATCAAAAGTCATAAATTGGAATGATTTCAAATAGAATTATATAGAAAACAGCATGTCTGTATATGTTGTTTTGGAATATCATCTGTCTTTAAAAGAGCACTTCTGGAATATATTCCGGTAAATAACATATAACTGTAAAAAATCAATTAAGTTTTTTAAAGAAAAAGTAAATTTATTCATAGTTTCACATTAATTTATCAAAGCTAATCAGACTTCGTTTACTTTTAAAAACATCTAACTTAAATGGAGTCTGCTAAGGTTTTTGTATTGATTACCAGGTATTATCCTATCATTTGCAAATTTAAAGAGATTTGAAAAAGGGGCTTAAGAGTTAAAGCAATCACTACTCTTTAATACATATATTTCTTTGTATTTTTCAGGCTGTCTCCAATCCACAATATGCTGCAAAAAAGAAGATGAAGAAAAATTTAGCAAAACGAGAAGCAAAGAAACGGAAGATAGAAGAATATAGAGTTTCAAAGAAAATTAAGAAACGGAAAATAAAAGACTTTGCCATTACATCTTAATAATTCACCTAAATAATGACTCTGTGATATCAAAATTTATCTGATGATATGTAACTCTGTTCATGTATGATGAAACATAAAAATAATATTTTATGCTAGACTGACTTTTTTTTTTCAAATTCAGCATGTAAACAAAGTTTACATTTAATCAAGGGTACAATTACAAACAGCAAAATCTACACATTTCCAGAACCACTGGGCCAATATCAACCAAATCCCTTGGTGAAGTTGATTCAGGTTTATTTAAGAGAAGAATGATCCCTTATTTCAATTGAATATGATCAACAATGAATGGGCAAGCGGCTTGTAGCCATTTATTCTGGTATACAATCATTAAGATCTTTCATCTTGCTCATCCTAAATATGTTTTTGCTTGTAAAAGGATCTCCTCTCTGAAAGGAACAGTATATATATACATGTGTTTACAAAGAGTGATATGAAAGGCCTAATTTTAATTTTTTCTCATATTTAAAAAAAAATCCCTTATCTGTGATTAAGGATATTGCAAATCATAGACTTTATGCCTCCTCTCTCCCAGTTTTACTGAAGAAAATGTACCTCTAACAGTCTGTCTTTTCCTTAAACTTCAATATGCCAATAAAGGATTGACACGGTTAATATAAGTAATATCCTTGATCATTAACGGGTCCAGTCCTGTATTCCAATATATTTCAAGTTAAGGTCAGACGACACGTTCCTCAAATTTATGTTTTGTATCTTTTTGTATTATATCAAAAACATTCAAATTTGTCATTCTCTTCTGATTTCTAAAAAAATGTTTTCAAAATAAGTAATTAAAAATTGTGATGTAGGCCATTCAGTGATTATGGATATTGGGTTATATAAGAGTTATATATAAATATACCTTTTATCTTGTCCAAAATGCCTGGTAACAGGTACCCTAATTTTTTGTGAAAACTTGTTTAAGTACCTAGACTTCAATGAAAATTGAAGGAAATAGTTATATATTTTTTGATCAAATGTCATCTGTACCTTATATTTCAAGTTAAAGACTACACCTTGAATTTTCTCTACAAATATGCATCGACCATTGCTTGAAAACTTTTTTAATTACAAAAAAAATTTCTATGGTCTGGATACCGCGTATCTGAACATAACCTTCCATCGTGTTCCTTTTCTTCTTTGCCCTATAACTACAGTCCTGCTGGACAAGTTATTACAGGTGACGCCAGTATAGTTTACAGTATAATGAGGACCTTAGGTTCTAAATTTAGGGAACCCCGATCCTTCAATTGGCAGCGGAATTTCATAATTATTATGGATTCTGTTGAAGATTACGCCAGGCGATGGGCCAGATATGAAAAAAAACGTTCACACTTTGCCAGAATGGATTAAATGTTTCAGACCCATGATAAAATCGCGTATTAAAAGACCGAAGGGCAATATGAAAACCATCCATCCTTCTGTAATCAATAATCAAGAAGTGGTAAAAAACTAGATAGGTTACATGATCAGTACATACTAGTCCCTTCTGACAAAGCAGATAACAAGCCAACATTGCATTTGTTTGCGTTTGTAAGGCTCATTATTTAAACAGTATATTACAAGAACTTAACTAAAGATTTAATTCTACAAGTGGTAATCCAGCTCATACTCATAGTGCCCTTTCTAAGGAAGAAATTCTTCAAAATCATAGATCAGTTTTGAATATTTTTAATATCCCAAAGAACCAAAATAATTCTTTATTTTATTATAATATATATATTGGATTCCGGAACTTCATAAGAATCCTTACAAAAAAGGATACACAGCGGGTTCCAATAATGTTCTACATGTACCAAGCCTCTTTCTTTACTCCTCACTAAGATATTCAAAACAGTATTGAAGGAGACACTTCAAGAGTAATGTGCAATATGTACAAAACGTGATGTAAAACACACAAGATTTTCCCAAAATCAACATCTTAAAAACTTACGACTTTTCAACTTTGTACACAACCATTTTCCATGATGAATTAAAGTCCAGGCTTTTGGATATCACTGACAACTGCTTTTTCAATAAAAAGGAACTCATAGATTTACTAAACTTGTCATTGCAATTGGTCATTTGCAAAATATTTTTAAAAAAAAATATGATGGTACACACAAATACTATTGAGTCGATATTAAAAAGACGCTTAAGTTTCTGATTGACAATATCTATGTCGTTTTTGGTGATCAGGTCTTTCAATAATCTTTTGGAATTCTCATGGGTACCATTTGCGCCCCGTTATTAGCAGACCTATTTTTGTATTCATATGAAGCAGAATTAGTACAAAATCTTATGCCTGATAAGAAGAAAACACTTGCTGTGGCCTGCAACTCGACATTTAGATATATCGATTATGTATTTTAAATTAACAATTGTAATTTCCATTCTTATGTCGATACGATATATCCCATTGAGCTTAATATAAAAGAATAACATAGAGTCCGACACATCTATTTTATTTTAAATAATCCACTTGAAAAAGACTCTAATGGTAATCTTATATCCAAGCTCTATGATAAACGTGATGACTTTGACCTTTCTTAAGTCAACTTCCCTTACTTATGCAGTAATATACCTTCATCACCTGCATAATTATGGATTTTATGTATCTCAGATGATTGGATACGCAAGAATATGCTCTACGTATGAGCAACTTGTAGAACGAGGTAAATTATTGACAAAGAAGTTGATAAAACAAGAATATCAGGTGTCTCGCTTAAAGTCAACATTTTGTAAAGTTCTATGGTCAATACAATGACCTTGTCAGCAAAAACAATTTAATATCATTGAGTGAAATGCTTACTGTTTTTCATGCTATTTTTCAGTCCAGATTTTTTGTTATTTACCGATCATGACAAGGAGCACACTGCGGGTGTGACTGGACTGCGGAGGATGCTCACTCCCCCTCCATGGTACCTGATCCCACTTCTGATGTTTTGGAGGTCTGTGTTTGCTATGCTCCTGTTTTGTATTGTTTTATGGACTTTTCATATTGAATACACATTCACACAATATTTAATTGTCAATTTTTTAATCTTCCTCATAAGATAAAAAAAGTCAATAAATTATACACTCTATAATTCAATTTCTTGCATGTCTTCCAATGTTATATCCTTATTCCTCACTTTGTACTTTCTCTTTCTAAAAATTTCGTTTCCTTTTTCTCTTTAAAGTGTTTATCCTTATCTTTGCTATTGGACAGTTAAATTTATTTTGTCTAGCGTTCTATTGCATTTAGGGTTTTGATATAAAAGATCAGAGGGGAAAACCCCATATAATTAGTAGTCAATGTTTTTTTTTTTAAAAAAATTGAAGTATCATGTTCGCTCTAAATTTATATACACGTTTGTCGAAGATTTTCAGATGATATATTATTACCATCAATATTCTTTATTATGAAGTTGATTTCTCTTGCTTTGATGATGGGGAGTAATACACATAGAACGAGCCATCAACTTGTGTATACCATGTACTGATAATACATGTAATTAATTGATCTTGAAATTTCCCGATTTTCAGTTGCATTTTTTTCTTCATCAGGGTTTTTTTTTTATATATAACAACGAAAATTAAACCCCACGAAAAATTGTGATTTCACAGTATGTTTATTTATTTATCAATTAGGTTTTCCATGAAAAATTATTTTGGACAAGTGGCTGAAGAGAAGGAGGTGAAAGCATTTTGATTGAAATGAAGAATTGCCAGGTTTCTAAATAATTGTAATTTCTTATAAATTCTGATATTATTCCCAGTCTATAAACATGATAAATAACACATAAATCACAGAGTTCAAAGGGCATAAAATAACTTCAAAAATAAAATCAAAACTCCTCAGCTTTGGTTGAGAATGCAGTAATTATCACTTGGTTCCTTACTGAATTTATAACTTTATACGCGTATGAATTCAATGTATCATGACATCATGAAATGTGACATTTTAATCATATCCTGTAAATTCTTATAAATATTGGTCAGAAGTTTAAGCATTCTTACAATGAGCACAACATCTCATCTAAAATATGCAATTACATAACAAAAGATTTTAATTTTTGGATCGAGAGCTGTGCATTGTAATTAATTGTCATACTGGACGAATTGCTCACAATCAAAAGTTGTGATTCCAAAAAATTCTCTCTGCGGATATTGCCTCTTAGATTTTGTGAATTCATAGACAAAAGTCTTTTAAGTCCATGTCTAATAGAAATTGAAATGCTTCGTTTATAGAGCCCATCGCTCATTATTCTTATGCATTATAACTTAGCACAGAATACAGATAACCAAATAAAATTGATTTAAAATCAGGAGGGTGTCCTTTACCTGTACCTCCAAAAAAACAATCTTTATTGTTATAGCGCTGGCCTACCAAGGTTTCCTTCGCACATTTATCTTTTGCAAAGCTGATCAATGTCTTTCTTGTCAAGCAAAGCAAACATCGCCATATTCTTTGGATTGTTCTTGTGTATATAAATGAGGTATATTTGCTTAAGTTCTAGTCAAGGGCAGTGTAAGACGTGGAATTTCATTGGATGATAAAAAACACGAGGCCCACCGGCCACATCGCTCACCTGAGTACTGTGGCTAGGAAAAAGTAGAAGTTGGTTTATTATTGAAAAGTTTAAATCCAAAAGAAGTCCCATGTCTAATCATGGCTTTGCTATTCTTGAGAAGAAGATATTTAAAGAATTTTTCTATATATTTCTATGTAAAACTTTGATCAGCTATTTTTGCCCCGCCCTACCCCCAGGGGTCATGATTTGAACAAACTTGAATCTACACTACCTGAAGATGCTTCCATATATATACGACTAATGATGGCTTGGCAATTCTTGTAAAAAAGATTTTTCTAAAAATTCATATGTATTTCTATGTAAAAATTTGATCGGATATTTTGGCCCAGCCCTACCCCCGGGGGTCATGATTTGAACAAATTTGAATATACACTACCAGATGATGTTTCTATATAAATAAGATCAATTATGGCTTTTCTATTCTTGGGAAGAAGATTTTTAAAGAATTTTTCTATATATTTCTATGTAATCAGCTATTTTTGCCCCGCCCTACCCCCAGTATTTGAACAAACTTGTATCTAACCTGAAGATGCTTCCATATATATACGACTAATGATGGCTTGGCATTCTTGTAAAAAAGATTTTTCTAAAAATTCATATGTATTTCTATGTAAAAATTTGATCGGATATTTTGGCCCAGCCCTACCCCCGGGGGTCATGATTTGAACAAATTTGAATATACACTACCTGATGATGTTTCTATATAAATAAGATCAATTATGGCTTTTCTATTCTTGGGAAGAAGATTTTTAAAGAATTTTCCTATATATTTCTATGTAAAACTTTGGTTGGCCATTGTGGCCCCGCCCTACCCCCGGGGATCATGATTTGAACAAATTTGAATCTACACTACATGAGGATGCTTCCAAATAAATATGATCAATTATGGCTTTGCTATTCTTGAGAAGAAGATTTTTAAATAATTTTCCAATATTTTTATATGTAAAACTTTGATCAGTTATTATTGCCCCGCCCTACCCCTGGGGGTCATGATTTGAACAAACTTGAATCTACGCTACCTGAGGATGCTTCCATATAAATATGACCAGGCCATTGTGGCCCCGCCCTACCCCTGGGGGTCATGATTTGAACAAACTTGAATCTACGCTACCTGAGGATGCTTCCATATAAATATGATCAATTATGACTTTGCTATTCTTGAGAAGAAGATTTTTAAAGAATTTTCCTATATATCTCTTTGTAAAACTTTGTTCGGCCATTGTATCCCAAGAAGATTTTTAAAGAAATTTCCTATATATTTCTTTGTAAAACTTTGTTCGGCCATTGTATCCCGCCCTACCCCCGGGGGTCATGATTTGAACAAAATTAAATCTACACTACCAGAGAATGATTCCACAGTAGTTTCGTCTTTCTTGGCCCAGTGGTTCTTGAGAAGAAGATTTTTTTTAAAAATGCTATTATTTTTTCATTAATTCATAATTATCTCCCCTTGAAAGAAGGCGTGGCCCTTCATTTTAATAAACTTGAATCTCCTTCACCTAAGGATACTTTGTAGCAAGTTTGGTTGAAATTGGCTCAGTGGTTCTTGAGAAGAAGATGAAAATGTGAAAAGTTAAGGACGACAACAACGACAACGACAACAACGACGACAGACAACGGACAAATTTTGATCAGAAAAGCTCACGTGAGCCTTCGGCTCACGTGAGCTAATAAGTTAAATCGATCTTGCTACGGGGAACTTCACTCTAGATTCAGTAAATATTGTATCCCCCAAGTACTCATAGATTTCCTGGAGAATTACTTTCCTAGTATTTCCTTCTTTAAGGTTTATAATTGTTTTTTTTTCACTTCAGTTCATTGGTTGAATAAACACATTGATAATTTATTCCATATACTGAATTCGTTTCACTCTTTGGGTTTCAGCAACATACAATATGTCATTGCTGTCTATACTGAGACAAAATGGTTTGTATAATTCACATTTGTCTATGTACAGAAGGAATTGTCCGTTCTGATCAATGATGTGTATAATGTTATTAGGGAAGTCAGCAATCAGAATGTGACACATTCTATCTGTGGTAATACCACGTGGAGTAAAGTTTTTGTATTTCATTCCGCTGTAGTTGAACTTAAAATGTCCTTCATTGCTCAACACTAAAACTGAATCTGGCTCATTCAGTACAATGTCAAGGTTCTTGTTTTCATCAATATGGGGCACAAAAAATAAAAAAAATGAAATGTCTACTAGTGATAAATCACTTATTTCAATTTCTTGTGTGACCGTAGAACCAGCATAACGGACAACTTTTCTGGAGACTGATGTTAACATATCGGAAAATTTCGATGTCATAAGTACCAAGAGGTCATCAGTAGAGGTGCTGCAGATAGCATTTGGCATCCAGTCCTTTACTTTGAGGAGACATTTTGTCTTATCACCCACCAGCATGTTAATTTCATTCGTCATCTTTTCAATATACACTAGATGTCCCTCTCTGGTGACTGTCAAAGCATGCGGGTCAATATTCTTTGCGATCTTCAGCACTTCCCCCACTTTGTTCATCTCTTTTATGATTCCACTGAGGCCACTGACAAAGAAGTGATCTGTGTGAGGAATACAAGCTACATGAGAAATTTTTTCATCAGTATTTATATCTCCAATTGTAAGTGGTAAATCAAGAAACTTCTTAACAGCTTTTTCTGATCTGGACTTGGATTTGGAAGCTTGTAGGACTTGTCCATGAATGTTGGTTTTCTTTGTTTCTGGAATGTATCCAATTATCTGACAGAATGCTTGCTCTGTAAGTTCATTGGGAGTGAAATCTGGCACTGTAAGTTTAAATCTGAAAGGAATAGTTCTGAAACTTTCATTTTGTGAAGTGTAATTGACAAGTTTAGATGGATCATTCGAGGCAAGGACGGATTTGTTTTCATTCATTTTCAAATGAATTGATAAGAAGCATTTCTTGAAATCTGATTCCAGGGTCTTAATTTCATTAACATCATCTCTTTCAATTTTTGTTGCATCACTCTGATATTTTTTAATAACTTTGTCTACTAGCTTGTGCCATGTTTGACCAATTTCATCAATGGCTCTTTTTCTTTCTTCATGTTTCTGTTTAATGCTTGTTAACATCTCTTTCATTTCAGAAAGTATCGATTCATAAAGAGGTGCAATTATAGTTTCAAGTTCATTTAAGTCTTTTCTGATAAGTTGATGCCTAGAGCTACAAATTTCAGCTATATGGGGCACACTGTGATTTTCATGTGATCCAGAGGCTAGACATTTTTTACATATTGGGAATTCACATTCTTCACAAAACATTTCACATTGATTTTCATTATGGACACTACATTGTGGCGGGATGACTTCAGATTTTTTGAACTCATAGGTAACGACATCATGTCTAATGGTGGGATTTGAGATCATATGGTGACCTACGCAGTCCTTACAGAGATCGACTTGACATGTTTTACAGACAGTTTCAGCAGCCGACTTTCTGTCTTTCCAAGGGCAAAGTTGACAGCGTTTTACATCTTGTGCCCTGTCATAGGGATCTGATGATGTTGCCATGGCGCTCTAATCGCTTATTGGAGTTTTTGAACCTGTGCCATCAATAAAAATGTACACCACTATCATTATTGCCTTATAAGAAAATATTGGCATAAAATATGTTTCAAATGAACAAGAAAGCACAGGAAAGAGGGCGAAATTGGAATAACGTACATATATCAAATAAAACATAAACTGGGTAATTTGTCTTACCTGTTAAAATTTGTCTCTAAAAACATGGCAGCCGGTTGGTATGATAAGATAATCAATGATCCAGGTGTGTGCTGACTGCACACTTCCGTGCATAGCGATTTAAAAATGTCTACCTGTGATATTGACACAGGGTGTGCATGATGACCTGCATGGTTTACTTCTAAAGAAGGCTCGAGATGTGTAATAAAACTTGTGTAATCTTAGTAATTTTGATTTACTGGGTATTTGTTCCTTAATTTCCTTCTTTATGTTGAGAAATGATGTTGAAATGATAAAATTCATGTTGGGAAATGAATAAAGTATATGACAAACATTTACAATGATTTATCAGATTTTATATTTCTAAAATTGTACACTTTGAAACTTGTAATTGACTACATACTGTGTACTTGTGAATATGTGAATATTAATCAGGCCTTTGAAAACACTTTGTAAAGGTATTGTCATTTGCTTGTCTTACCTTTATTAAAAAATGTTTTAAAAATTTTGTAAACTTTGTATTATTTGGCTACAAAGACATCAAGTATTGCTGTTGGAAGCAAATTGAAAACGTGGGGTATTTGGAAAAGAAAGAAAATTAACATAAAAATAAACTGACAATCAAAAGGAAAAAGAACAGGAAAATCAGAATATTTCTCCATTGTGCAAACATGAAAATCATAATCTTTTTTGGGGGGTGGGGGTGGGGGTGGGGGGTTGAAACTTCTTTCTATATTCCCCAAAAAGGTGGAGGGGGCATAATTACTAAATATCAAATTCAATGGGATGCATATATTATCCAAATATTTTTGAAAAGTAATTCTTCCTGTTTTTTATTTTTTTGGGGGGAGGGGAGGGAGGGGGTCTCTTTCTTTGTGGTGCCTTTCTTATTTCAGTACTCTTCTGGACACTACTGTGATAACACGTACTTTTTTTATGGGGTCTTGATTCCGCGGAATCTCAATTTCCGTTTAATCCGCGTGTTGAAAATTACGCGGATTTTTTAGACTGTGTGACTGCGACGTACATAGTGTAAATTAATAACACGCAAATAAAAGTACTTCTACAGTATATGCTGCACTTGATAAAGGATTCTATTGAATTTAAAATTCTTTTCTTCTTAAAGGTTCTAGATTCTACAGATAGCCACACTATATCAAGAAAGGTACAGGAAGTCCTGAAGAAAGACGTGACATGGTTACTGGACAACCCAGGACTGGACACAGAGTCTCTGATTATATTTACCCACGGATTGATCACTCAGTCATTTCCACAGCTATCTGACAAACAGAGTTATATTGTAGTTTGAATTTTTGTATTCATTTAAATTAATTTTTTCCCCATTTTTCCCCCATTAAAAAGGACAAATATTTAAAATTGAGCAAAATCAAAGAATACATAAATATTTACATGTTATAACTTTTAATATATCATAGTGTATCGGCAGATTTACAATGGGCCGGATATATCTGTGCATACATTGATTTTCAGATTTCACAATGAGGTTGAATGGATCATTTGTAAATTTTGGAGATATCTTTTCAGTAAGCAGAAAACTGAAGAAAAGGAGACCCAGTCCTTTAGACCTCCAAGCTGTCTCTTGCTACCAGAGGAACCGGAGCGTGGAGGAGACAAACCCAGACTGAGTAAGAAGACCAACATCCATGTCTTGGTGGAGTTTGGTCTTCAGCTCCTGTATCTGTGTCTGAAGAGGGGCCGTCTGGTGGTGACAGAGGAGAACCACTGTAAATTAGTGGACCCTTTTATCACTATCTTAGTGGACTGTCTGTACTCTTAACATATCAGAGTAAGTTTACAAAGAAAAAAGTGATATGACCATGATTCATAGAAGCCTTCATAGAGGTGAACTTGATGCATACACCCTCATTGAGAGGAATTTATAATCATGATAAAATGATACAGTAAAAGTTGGATGCTTAGAATTTGTTTATAAGTAAATATAGATTTTAGAGTATTATTTTTATAAAATAGGTAGAGGATTTTCAATATACATATACATCTT